AGAGACACAAGAGACAGGAGACTGGACAGACAGAGGAGCAGGAGGAGACACAGAGAGAGGACAGAGTGAGAGAGAAGAGAGAGACACGAAGAAGAGAGACACAGAAGAGAGACAGAACTGAGACACAGAGAGAGAACCAGATGAGAGAAAGGCACAGAGAAGAGGATGACCTGTGAATCACAAGAGACTGTAAAGTTACAGAGGATGGACGTCGCACAGATAGCTGGACGGAGGCGACTGGAGGAGACTGAGACCTGCCGGATCAGTGTTGTTGAGGCATCAGAGAGACGAGACGCAGCAGGAGTGCTCCCTCCCTCCCTCCCTCCCTCCCTCCCTCCACAGGAAGCTGCTACCGCAAACAGCACAAGCCCTTGGTCGGATCCCACCACTTTGTTTGCCACCGGGACAGCCCCTGCAGCAGCACCGTGGCCCACGCCGGGGCCCGGGGTGGGGCTCAGGAGGAACAGCACATGGGCCTCGGACGGGACCAGCCTCGCGACCCACGCCACGCCGCTCGGGAAGGCCAACGGCACCACGCTGGTCACGCAGGGTGCGCCCGACCAGTGCTGGGAAACATACGTAGGCCAGGTGGGCCCTGTGCCCTTGCAGAGTAGCCCTGGCAGCTCTAGGCGGCGTCAGCGTCCCTGCTCCACAGAAAAGGGACGCCCGGGGAGGTTTGGTTTTCCAGGTCTGAGAGTCACTAATAATGATGGGTGCAAAGACCCACGCAGCATTTCCTGCCTGCTGGGCCCTGCTCTAAGCACTTAGTCCTCATCAGAGCCCTGTTATTGTCACCCTTGTGGGCACAGGTGAGGAAACTAAGGCACAAGTGGCCAAGCGCACTGCCCAGGGACACAGAAACGGGCAGAGGGACGACCAGAACCCAGGCGTCTGCTGCAGGCCTGGGCCTCCATCTGCGCGCGGCACCTCACCCAGGGCCGCTGGCCCAGGGCAGCAGGCCACAGGCCTCCAGGAGTCTCCGTGGCTCAGAACCACAGGCGCTAGAATCTTTCCCACTTCCATGTGACGCTGGCTTCAGATGTCCAAACTCCAAGTAGCCGGCATTTATGGAGCATAGATTATGCGCCAGAATCCCATCCTTCTGCCCCCTGCCCCTTCTAAAGATGCGAAATGAAGATTCCACCGGGGGGCCCTCCCGCTCAGGCCCACGGGGAGGGACGGAGACCAGGAGGACGCTGGGGAAGGGTGGCTGGGGGGGCGGGCGTGGTGGCAGCCGGGGCCCTGTGTTCCAGGAGATGCTGAAGCTCTCCATCATTGACATGCTCTTCACCGTGGCCAGCATCCTGCTCATAGACTTCTTCCGGGGACTTTTCGTCCGGTACTTAAGTGACTACTGGTGCTGGGACCTGGAGAACAAGTTTGTAAGTGAAGCGCTGTGCTCGCCGGGGAAACTGGCTCGGCCACAGCCGTCCTTTCCTGACGCCCAGGCTGGGAGAAGTCGGGGCGCACGTGGGGAGAAAGCACGTGAGGGGAGAGGGGAAGGCGGGCATGGCGCAGGGCAGAGAGATCAGTGGGAGCGAGGAGCCCCCACCCGAGAGTACAGTGACCCGGTTCCCACGAAGAACTTCAGAACTTTTTCTAACGCGGAAGTTCTTTTTCTCCTGCAGCCGGAATACGGGGAATTCAAGATAGCTGAGAACGTGCTGCATTTAGTCTACAACCAAGGAATGATTTGGTAGGTGCCCAAGCCACCGCTTTGCTTACATCTCATCTGGGCCACGAGTTTGGATTTTCTCAGTCTGGAGGGGACGTGACCGTAATAAACACAGTCCCAAGTGTTAAGAAGGGCCATTTCCAAGGGGAACTATTTCTCGTGTAATTTTGCTAATCATTTTGTTGGAATTTTGCAGGAAGAAATGGTAAAGAAAACAGTCCATCTTTAAGCTCCTGTTGGCTATAGACCCCTTGACCCCCAAATATCCGCCCAGGAACCTGTAGAATAAGCAGCTGGGGAGGCCTGGGGTGGGGGGCTGGGAGGAGAAGCTGCTTCTCCCCCAGGGGACGTCAGGAGCAGTTTCAGTCCCAGAAGGGGACCTTGGCCTATCCGCCCCGGACTCTCCCTCCTGAGACTCCCTATGTTTGACTTAGACACGGGGGACAGGGACACAGCCATCCCCAGACTGGCAGACCCGCCCTGGGGGAGGCCCAGGGCTTGGGAAGTCTGATCACCCAGGGCACCCCCCAGGCCCAGGCAGTCGCTCCCCGAGACCCTGAGGAGCTGAAGGGGCGTCACATCATGCGTGTCCGCAGGGCACGGTGGAGAGCGAGCTCCCTGGGGACCCCCAGATAGCGCCGTCCGTTAACATACAAGCAAACAAAGAGAAACCCTGGGTGTTCCATACGTTCAGAAAACACAGCCTCTCTCCATGATCATTCGATAAAATGAATGGGGAATTGAGAGGTATAAAGTAGTGTTCCTCCAATCCAATTCTATGTTCTCATAGTCCACTGAATTTTACAAAATGTCTTTACTAACACAGTATTAAAAATAATATGTGACATGTATTTAATGCGTGTTAGGTGTCAGGCACTTTTCAACCTGTAGTAAATGGTGTAATCCTTAGAGTAACTCCTTATGAGGGAAACTGCTGCTATTTTCCCCATTTTAAAAATGAGGAAACCGAGGCAGAGAGAAGCTACGGATCTTGTCTATCATCAAGCAGGCAGTGGCATTTCTGCCTACCATGAGAAGCCAAACTTTTTTAAAAATATTTTTGGCTTATTAAACATATCCTTGTATCTATGCTTATTCTCCTACTACTAAATGCAAATTCCACAACTATTGAATGCACATCCAGGGTAAACTGATGTAGACTAACGTCAGAAAACCTGGGTTTCGTCCCCTATTTGGCAGTTCTTTATGGGGTGACAGCTTCCCTGGGATGGCCCGGGCGGCTGCCTGTGGACCCAGATCTTTCACTCTCCAGTGTGTCCCCGTCTGGATGGTCCAGCGTTACCCTTTTATTAGCAACATGTTTTTGGGCAAATCACTTAATTTTCCCTGACCTGCGTTCCTTGCCTATCAACTGTGGATCCTTACCCGTCCTTTCACAACTGCAGGAGATTAAATGAGCTAAAATACGCGAGGCTGTCCAGTCACAGCGGGTGCTCCTCGTGTGTCGATTAAACCCGAAAGCCAGTAGCTTATGAGCAGAGTCCTGGCCAGAGACAGGCCAAACCCGCAGCTGCCCCGAGCGTAGTCACCCTTCCTTTGCCTTCTCTGCAGAGCAGGCCTCTGCTCTGCTCGGCTGTGACGAGGGACAAACACGTCAGGCCTTTGCAGGGAGGACATTTGCAACAGGATATTTTAAAATAGGATCACCACTCGTTTTCAGTGACTTGTCTTCTCGAGGGAAGTTCGGGGACTGTGGTCTCAGCACGGCAGGGGGCTTCTCCACTCCCTTAGGCACAGGCTGTGAACCCCCAAGTCTCAGAGCCGTGCTGCTCCCCGGGCCCCCGGCCCTGGAAATTGCTCGGGAAGGGAACTCGTGCAATCTGACCTTCCCCGTGGCTCCAGGATGGGGGCCTTCTTCTCGCCCTGTCTCCCTGCGTTCAACGTGTTCAAGCTCATCGGGCTCATGTACCTGCGGAGCTGGGCCGTGCTGACCTGCAACGTGCCGCACCAGCAGGTGTTCCGAGCCTCCAGGTGGGTGAGCGGGAGGTCGCTTCACGCGGGGACTCAGAGAACTCGCGCCACCCACGTGGGCCCGATCTGGGGGTCCACGAGCAGGGGCCCCCCGACTCGCTTCCTGTCCAAATCCTGCCTGTCCCGCGGTCTTCTTTCCCCCATGGTGTCATCTCCCGGGCCCGGCCCTTAGCGTTAGTCCTTACGCCACCGGAGCTCACGACACAGTGTCTAAAACTTTCTTCACTGAGATCTAATAATCATTTGGAAAAACGCACAAATCATAACTGAATGGATGAATTTTCACAAACTGAACACGGGTTATGTCGCCAGCACCCACATCAAAAAACAGAATATGTTCCAAAACTCCTGAAGGTGCCATATAGGTAAGAAAATGAGAAAGTGAAAATAAGTAAGAGAAAAAAAAAAAACCCAGAGCCTGAGTGGCACCCGGAGCACCCCACCTGCGCTCCAGTCCGGTCACTGCCGACTCGTGGCGGCATAGCTAGGTCCGCCTCGTTTTGCCTTGTGTAAACGGAATCGCACACACCCTTCACGCCACACGCTGAGACTCATCTCATCCCGGAAACATGCCCCAACTTCCTCCTCCGTGCTGCTGTTGACGGGCACAGTGGCGGTTTCCCGTTGCTAGCTGTAATGACTAATGCCACCTCGGACATGCTCGCACGAGTTGTTTGTTGGGTATGTACCTGGGAATGCAACTGCTGCGTCCTGGGGTCAGGCACTACGCTCACCTTTAGCAGACAGTGCCAGAACGTTTTCCAAAGTGGCTGCACCATTCTGTGTGTGCACTGTCTGAGAGTTCCAGTTGTTCCACAGCCCTGTCAACACGTGTTCTTTCCTGCGCTTTTCATTTTAGCCATTTGGTGATTTTTAGAGCACATTTTGAACACTTTGATTAGAGCTCAGTCATTTTATTTTGACATAAGTTATTTATGTATGTCTATCAGTGGCTTCCAAACTTTTTGGCTGTGACCTACACATGACAATATATTTATTTACATGTCACCTGGTAGCCAGCACAAGTATATGCACATATTCAGATATGTTATACATATTTCCATATGTTTATGTATAGCATGTATGTGTGTGTGCATTTATCTATCTATGTAGATATATCTATATATAGAGAGAGAGGTTTTACAACTCGACACTCACCTACTGACTACGTTCTGTGCACTCTGATATTTTCTGTTCTCTTTTAGTCAGATCTATCTCATTAGAGACGGAACAACAGAACAGAAAGAGTGCCAGTTGAGAGTCACTCGATGGCTTCAACACTTGTTCTCTTTTCAGAGCTGCATACAGGGCCTCACGCGCCAAATAGGTCCGAGCTGTCCTCGGGGAGACCTGGCATCCAAGCTCCCCGACACCTGCTTAGGGCTGGGGGACCAGAAGCCGGGGCTTCTCCAGGCAGGACACTCTCCCCGAGCAGCCAGGAGCAGAGAGGATAGGAGGTTGAGTGCAAATCACATCCAAGCAGGAGAGTCTAGCATCAGCACCAGAAGAGCCAAACCATCCGGAGACGTAAGGCTCAGCTGGACGGGCAATGCGTCTAAGGTTTCCCATCAACTGAGCTCACTGGGTGGGAGCTCTGGGTGCCGGGTGAGGTCACCACTGCCGAGGTCCGAAGCGGACAGGTCCTCGGCAAGTGTTTCTTAGAGGAACAGGTAGGGCTGGGAGATCTGCGAAGTTCCTTTGAACACTGATTTCTAGGGTTCCAAGCAGCATACGACCCTATAACGGACCCACTCCTACGCAGTGCTGGGAGGGGGACCTTTCAGTTTGCAAAGAGTCAGGTCGGCGACTTCTGGGGCCGGTTCTCGGGGCACATTCGTCCTCAGCGCCTGGCTGTGGAGTGAGCGCGGCACATGGCATTGGTTTCTTGGCAGATCCAACAACTTCTACCTGGCGATGCTGCTGTTCATGCTGTTCCTGTGCATGCTGCCGACCATCTTCGCGATTGTCCGCTACAAGCCTTCTCTCAACTGCGGCCCCTTCAGGTGAGTCCTCTCGGTTGCGTGGGCTCTGCATACAGCGGTGACAGCTGCGGGGGATGGACTCTCACTGAGTTTAACCCTCCCCCGGCTCCCAGAGCAGGTGAGACGCGTGGGAAGGTCGCAAATGCGCGTGCTTGAGTCCAAGACCGGGGCTCTTGCCCTGACGCCACCCGAGAAACGTGACTCGGCGGCCTCTGGGCATCCAGCCGCGCCTTGATGTCTTGCAGCCCCCTTCTGCCGAGGGCGTTAGCGTCTGGGTGATGTTTTCTGTCTCGCAGCGGACAGGAGAAAATCTACGACATCGTGTCGGAGACGATTGAGAAGGACTTCCCCGCGTGGTTCGGCTCCGTGGTGGGACACGTCAGCAGCCCCGTGGTCATCCTGCCGGCCGTGCTGCTGCTGTTGTGAGTGCCGCCTGCCGGCTCTGCGGCGCCCGTGCGTCCGGCCGACAGGGACCCGCCGCTCTCCCATAATTATCTAAAATGTCCTAGTTCATCCAACACTCACTTAGGAAGCCTGGCGTCTAAGCGGGGACTCGAGCCACACCGCAGGGCCACACGAGGCACGGTGCCTCGGAGACGTGGCCACGGGCCCCAGCGGGGGTGGGGGGAGGGCCGCACTGCCTCCCAGGTGGTTATTGATCCACCAACAGCAGTTGATCAATATCTGTGACGCCTATGATGGGCTTGAATGCCGATACCATCACTATCTTACTCTCCAGAAATGCGAATGCTCTTGCAAAGGAATTTCACAAGTCAGCTGAGTGGCTCTGGCTCACTTTGGCTTAAAGGACAAAAAGCCAGTGGATTCAGTCCTCACAGCTTGACACGCTGCAAAATGCCTCCCCCACATTCCCACCGTTCTTACGGCTGTCTCCAGGGCAGAGCCCCAGGGCAGAGGGCGCTGTGGGAAGGAAGAAAAGCCAGCAGCCCCTTCCACACAGGCCAAGCGCTCGCTGGCTTGAGGACTCGCGTACATTCTGTCCTGGGCGGAGGGTCGGGGGCAGCCACGTCCGGCCTCCCGTTCCTGCCAAACACCCGGGCAGGGCAGAGGCTGGCGGGCCGGGGAGCGGCGGCGGCGGTGGTGGCGGCACTCACGGTCCCCGCTCTTCCGTCCCAGCCTGCTCATCTACTACCTGCAGAGCATCGCGCGGTCTCTGAAGCTCAGCAACCACCAGCTCAGGATGCAGATCCAAAACGCAAGTATCACGTGACCCAGACCTGGCCAGCTCGGGAATGCAAGTGAGGTCAGGTCTGCAGGCTACTGTGACTCTGGGCCACCCACTGTGGCACAAGGCCACCGCCCCCAGGATCTCCCAGAATTATTTCTAATAGTACCTGGGATGGTTCATGTGTGCCAGGAACAATCTGCTCCTGTTTTCCCTCCTCTCCAAGGGCCCCTCCGGTGGCCACGGGAGGCCCTCGTGTGCCAGGCTCTTCTGCACACCCGGGGAAAGGGCCCGCCCCACTCCTCGTCCCTGTGGACACCTGGGCCCAGCAGCACTGTTTGTACCCAGAGACGCTTTCAGCCCGTAGACTCTGGCTGTCAGTGTCCTGCTCCCACCGGCGCCAGCGCCATCTCAGAGCAGTCAGGACAGCAGACACTCCCCAACCCTTCTGTTTCTCCTCCCCAGCCTTGCCCAGGGCTCCCGGGTTTGGGACCAGGCGAGGCCAGGGAGGCTCCCACGGTGCAGAATTGAAGGGCTCTGTCCCGGGGCCCTGCTAGCCCTGCCCTTTCGCAGCCCCGAGAATGACTAATCCTCACACAGTGCACCCCAGATCCTCGACAGCCTCACCCGCCCCAGACCCCCGCTCGAAAAAACTCCTTCCACCTTTTTCAGTTAAAAAAAAGTACCAAACTCCCATGACTATCAATTCATACAAAGAAACACAAACTGGTCTTATAAAAGTCAAAGTAGAAATTCACTTATAGCTGCAAAGGGCGTTTTTGTGGAAGCGCTCACCTCCAGCTTCGCTGATCCGTGTCTGTTCTTCGTGACTCAGGCCGGCTATTACTGGTAGGATAGAAACACGGCCTGTCAATTAGGCGTCCCTAAACAAAACTGGCCAGGCACCGAGCTTCAGCTCTTGGGGACCTGCATTCACTCACTAAAATGACAGCCCCAAGCACGATGTCTTCCGGGGCAGTGGTACTTCCCTCCGCTGTAAGAGTGATGGCACTAAACCTCCCCCCCAAATAATATTTGTTACTGCTTCCTTCTGAATCCCAAACAAACATGATTTCATTTACATTTTAGGCGAGATCAGAGGACAAGAAAAAGGTTGCCCAAATGGTGGAAGGTAAGTATTAAAAAAACACAGAGACCTGATGTCTCAGCGGGTGGCCATTTAGAAATCCGGCAGTTTAAGGCAGTTTGAGGAATTCTACCAATAAAAATTCCCGGTAACCCGTGGTTTTTTCACAATCAACTAGGCACAACAAAATAAAATGTAGGGAAACAAATGTTGGTTTAAATCTTCAATTTTTACATCCTAGGCAGGCCTGTGCGTAACCCCAAAATATGTCTAAAATCAGAAGGAAGTTTTGAGGTAGGCGGGAAAAAGAAGCACATTAACCGGGAGAAGACCCCTAAGGACATCTTTCTCTGGCTCGCGCCTGTGTACGTCCCCTGGGTGGCCCGTCGCTTGCTCGCGAGACCCCCTCCCAGGCCGGGTCCTCCCTGCCCCACCCCTGCAGAGCAGCGCCGGGAGGGCAGCGAGAGCAGGGTCCCGAGAGAGGGACCCACACCTGCTGCCTGTCTGGGAACACACAGGCCCTCCTCGTGCTCTGCAGCGGCACCTGGACAAACCTGTCCCAACCAGGCTCGTTGGGGGAGAGGGAATGAGGGACAGAAAGGGTGACAGCATGGAGTGGCCTGGAGGCAGGACAGTGGGCAGTGCCGCGCTACTGGACAGGACCTGCTCCCCTCCAGGGCAGGGCCTGAGCGGGAGCCCTGAGGCCTGAGGGTCATGCCTGCCCCGCCAGCTTTTCAGAGAAGCCTGTAACCAAGTGACCTGTAACCGACAGTGACCAAGGACAGTGGCGGTGGCTCATGCTGTAAAACCCTCTGTGAGTGTCCAGGGTTTTCTGCCGAGGGAGCATAGTTTATTCCCGTCACCTCCCAAAGCCAAGCTCCACCTGCGCTTTCTCAGGACGACAGTAGCGTTGCCCGGGTCCGTCTTCCCGTTGAAGGCCCCATCTTTTCTTTAGGGTGCCGTGTGAGCTGTTTCCAGGAAGCTGTCATGGTAGCATAGGCTTTATTATATCGGAGCTGAAGCCCTGGACCGGCCAGACGCCTGCTTCCCTCCCGGCGGTGGGGGGGCGCCCTGCGCAGCCCTGGGTGCACCAGGCTCCGCTGCGGCCAGCCTGGGGCGAGATGAGTTCAGTCACAGGACGGTTACTGCTCATGGGTCAGCGCGCTCCCAGGCGCAACCGACTGACCGTGGACCAGCGTGGGAAGTCGTGGACCCCGCACGGCCCCCTCAGCTGAGGGTGCAGCCTGCACCAGGTCGTCTTCTCACCGTCCTCCCTCTCCCTGCAGCCCGGATCCAGACCCAGGAGGAAAGCGCCAAGAGGCTTCCAAAGGACGGCGACCGGGTCAGCCAGCTGTCCTGGGCGGTCTCGGCCGCGCCCCAGAACGAGGGCAACGCGGCCAACTTCGACTCCACGAGCAGCAAGAGCAGCAGGATCGAGGTGGTCGCCCAGTCCGTGCCCCAGAGCCCCAGGCCGGGGCCCAGGGCTCCTGGCTCGCCTCTTCCCGGAGCCTCCAAATCCCGGCCCGGCCACGGCTCTCACAGGTGAGGCTCCGTGCGGCGCAGAGGGAACTGGCCTCCCGAACCGCAGCAGCCCTGGCCCAGGGGCACAGAAAGTGTGGGCTAAAGAGCTGTTAGCAGTGCCAGGAGGCCAAGGCCGCACATTCTAATTCTTCCAGAAGGCCACTGGCAGGGAGGCAGTGGGGAAGGGGTGTCAAAGTTTATCACTCGGGACAGATTCTTCCTCCCAGGCTACCTGCCATAAACCTGCGAGCCAACATTCCGGCCAAACCGGGATAAGCATTTCGATAGCCTCCATAAGGAAAGTTCCTTTTTATCTTACTCTGTAGCTCCACAAGTCCTGGCAGGGTCCCCAGGCTTTAGCCCCAGGCCGGTCAGGTTATCAGTGAGGTCATCCGTGCACCCTGTGGGCTCAGCTGTTTCAGTTCTGTGCAAAAAAAAAAGGCTGAAAGAAAAAGAAAGAAAGTGGAGTCCTGCTTCCTGTAGGAGGTGGGACACCTGCAAAGGTGAAGCAGAGCGAGCCGCACCGGCCGGGCCAGCTCGGAGAATCGTATGTCAGTATCTGCTCTGAGTGTGGCCCGGTGAAGGCGAGGGAGATAAAACGCAGGGCTTTCGTTTTGGGGGTGTTTTTTAAAGACGATCACTAAGTTAGCAAAGAACAGGAAATCTTGCTATGTGAGTCTTCTTCCCGGCTCTGGGGGGTCTCGGCAGGGAGGAGGGGCTCTCGCTGTGGTGCCCCCAAACGTTTCTGCACCCACAACCCAGAGCACGCCCAGTAGCCGTTGGAGCCAGGCTCCGCGACCCGGTGAGGGACCGCCGCCCTGGCTCCCGCAGTGGGCAGGCGCCGCCGAGGGGCTCAGGGTCCGCCCGGCCAGGGCTGCTGAGCGCCTTTGCCTTGCAGGTACCCACGGGGTCTCTGCGCTAGCACAGGGGACCTCCGCAAGAGCAGGCCGCGCACACCCGTGACGTCCGCAAAGCACGGGGGCGACGCCCACTCGGAGCCGCTTTTCCGGAAAGACTTCCAGCAAATGGACGCCTCCCGCCACGGGCCGGGGGTCTCGGCCATGGTGGCACACGGCCCCGGGCCCCACACCCCCAGATACTATGTCGTTCACGAGCAGGACTCTCACCAGAAAAGCCGTCCGGCTTTCTGGCCAGAAAGACATTTCAAGATAGATGCCTCGGGTGACATCGTGGAGGTGTACCCCAAAAACGTGTGGCCTTACGTGCCCCGCGTGCTCCCCGAGCTCCGCTCTCCACAGCTGAGCGAGGAAGAGGAGGAGAGGCCGGGGAGAGATTTGACCAAGTGGTCCTTCCCCCCACGATCCCTCACAGACCTCCGCCGGGCTCCCCACTTTTACACGGGCGGCGGGGCAGAGGGCCGGGCCCCGGCTCCGGAGCGCCAGGGACGGGCGCACCACCAGTCCTGGAACGACGGTTTCGGGGGCCAGCCGGGCAGGCCGGCGAGTGCGCACAGAAAGCCACGCTGCCGCTCGGCCCGCTACCCGCAGCAGCACCCTCTCAGGCCCAGGGCCAGGCCCCGGTTCGAGCCACCGGTCGCAGAGTCTGACTCCTTGTCGGCGGCGTCCAGCAGTGACCCCCAGAACAGCAGCACCGACCAGTACCTGCAGGTCACCCACAGCCGGGGCCCCAGGCCCGCGGGCCGGCTCGGCAGGCGGAAGGCCCAGTCGGGGCCGGAGCTGGCCCTGGATCTGGACGACCTGATCTGCTCTAACGTCTAGGCCTGCCGGGCGTCCCCGTGCGGGGCTCAGGCCCCACTGGCCGCCCGGGCCGGCACAGGCCTCTGCCCTCTGGGGAGGGAGCAGCACTTGGGGGGGGGACCTGTGGGCACGTCCCCGGGGCTGGCCGAGGCCCCGGGAGTCCCAGGGCTGCAACCACAGCGAGGAGTCGTGCCTGTGGGTCCCCTTGCGTCCAGCACGCAGGAGCGATCAGCCTTTATGTCAAGAAAACTTTGGTCCTTTGCCTCCTCCCGGTGGCCAGGAATCACAGGCACGCCGGAGGACTCTCGTCCGGACTGCAGAGGCCTCACCCACCACGCCTGTGGTATGCGCGAGCCGTTTGATTGCGATGCTCTCTTGCGACACGCCAAAGTCGGCCTTCCCTGGTAAGCACCTGGGCTCGCCAGGCTGCCCGCGAGGGTTTCTCAAGGCTCGGTTTGTAGGCGTCACCGGCTCGGCAGTGACGAGGGGAGCTGGCATTCACCGAGAGCCCGTTTTGCTCTGGCTGCCGGTCGGTGTGTGTTCATTAGCCAGGACACTCGGGCTGGGAGCAACCCGAGGTTTCCCTCAAGGTTTGTTGGTTTGTTTAAAGGAAAAGCAAAGCCCCGGCACCAAGCCGGACCCGGGCCCCGCTGGAGCCCAGGGATGGGACACCCGGGAATGTCTCTGTCACCTCTCTGCTCTGTCCCCGTGTCCCGTCCTCATTTTGTCCTACACCAAGGGCTCCCTCCATGCGTGGGGGAGGAATCCACAGCCACGGAAGGTGCCGGGCTCTTTCTGCAGGGAAGGCCTCGACCCTCTTTTAGAAAAGGGGATCACCTGATTAGGTGCGGCCCACACGGATAATCTCCCTTTTGATTAACTCAGAGTTAACCGATTGGGGATCTTAATTACGTCTTCGAAAGCACTTCGCCTTCGCCGCGTCTGAGCGTCAACTCCCGTTACCCTCCCCAGCGCCTGAAGACTCCAGGAGCGGAGATGGCGCAGGGCGCGTGTAACGGGGCGGCGGTCTTGGAGGCCAGCCACAAACACTTAATAAGTATTAGTTGACTGTGAACAGGAGGGCGAACGAATGAACGGACTGTGCTAATGAACGAGTCACGAGTGGCATGGCCACAGGATCATGTTCCAAGACTTGTTGCCTGTTCTAATCAGAAAGCAAAGTTCGGTGTCAATAGCGCCATTCTGAAAGCACACACGCGTGCTAACACGCTCCCCCAAGTTTATGCACAGCAGCGCGCATATCCGCAAATGTCTCGCCACGCTAAATTCAGGAGGCCGCGGTCTCCTCGGGGCCGTGCGTTCTCCGATGCCGCGGGAACGGCCTTGCGTGGCCGAGGGGCTCCCGGGTCCCATGAAGGGGGTTCTGTCCCCCAGGCGTTGTCCTGGGACCGCGGCCTTGGGCTTCCTGGGACATCAAAGCACCTTTTGGAAAAGGCCGGCCCTGCTCTCGGCACCCTCGGAGGCACCTGTGTGGGGCACCCCATGGCAGCTGGGGGCGGGCGCGCCGGAGACGTCCGGAGGAAGCGCGGGCACTGCTGGCGCACGCCGGGGTGGGGAGCTCGAGCTCACACTGCTCGCCGCCTCTGGCGCTTCCTGCCGCGCCGTGCCTTCAGTCTGGAGCAACGCCAAAGACGCAGAGCCGCGCAGATGCTCGTGTGGCCAGCGCCGGCATCCCCCGGGGGGGCCAGCAACCGTTGAGACTGAAATCTTATTTCCACCTACCCATCGTGTCAGCAGTGATAAAGAAAACGCTGTCTCACGGTATAATCAAAGCCCAGGCTCAGCCTCCCGCTGCGTCCCGTTCTCCCCACACCTGCCAGGGTTTGGGGCAGGAGCTTTTGGCCTGTAGTTCATAGTTACAGACGTGTGTGTGTGTGTGTGCAAATATGTAAGCATCCATAAGCAACACGCGAGCACATTTTACTTGTGCGCATGCCGTCACTGCACACGCCATTGCGCGTGTGTGCGGTTTCGAGGTCTGTCTGAGAAATGCGTTGATCAGACTCGCCTGTTATGACTGCTGGGTGGCGTTTCGTCCTAGAATAAACTGCATATACTATCTACCCGATTCCTGCTGGTGGGCGGTGAAGTCGTTTCTACTTCTCTGCTACTGACGTGCTAAACATTTCCGCGTGCCTTCCATGGCCCTGGTGCCCGCGTGCTGGGACGTGGCGGTCGGTTCTCTGAGAGGGAGGCCCCAGCTCACGGGGGACGGGCGTGTCCGCCGTGCCGGACGCAGACCCTGCGCACGCTCTGTCCACAGCGGGCGTGACTGTGTTTCTCACCGCCTCGCCAGTGCGCGATGGTGGCACGCTATATCATTTGTACCAATCTGATAAAAAAAAAAAAAAAAAAAAACCCACAGCAACTTATTTTGATGAATTTGCGATTTTATGGTAAGCATCTCTCCCTAAGTTGATTGGCCATTTGCATTTCGTCCTCTGCAAATTAACTGCCTGTGTGACACCTCTGCCCGCTTTCCTATCGAGGGTAGCCAGCGTCACCGTGAACAGGCCCCCAGATGCTACTGACAAAACCAGCGCACGCTCCCTGGCCGTCCCCTCCACTCCCGAATGCCAGCCCTTGTGTAAGCTGCAGAGCAGAGAGCTTCCAACCTGCACAGCCAGATGCCTCCGGTGGCTGTGGTTTCACAACCTTGCTGCGTGTTTCAGTAAGGATCCCTGGGGCGGAGCTGCGCATTCCTGCCTTTGGTCACACTATGCCTAAGGACGTGATCCCTGGTATTATTAAAAATCTCTCCCAGAAACACCTACATAGAAATTCCTCTCCAGGCTCAGAGATCAGACAATTATGTCCATTAAGTACGGAGAGCGAATTCCTCTTGGTAAGAGTAGTTCAGTAAATATTTTAGTAACCTAAGGATGCTTCTTCCTTTAGTCACCTTGTATGTTTCAGAATTCGTAAATGACAGGAAATTTAGGGGAACGTTTTCTGCGCGTCTCTGAAAGAGTGGCGTCCCCAGCCTAGGGCAGTATTTTCCAGCTGCTCCGTGCCTGTGCACATGTTTCTTCTTTTTGGGGTTTGCAGGTTGTCGTTTCCTTCTACCTTTGCACATTCCGTGGTAAACGCTGCGTGTGTTTGCAGGAAGCAGGCGGCTGTAAAGCTTACGAGCAAACATGTGGCCCTTGGGGATGGAAACTGGCTGCTTGCCACAGCTCTGCCACTTGCTAGCCGTGTGGCCCTGGATACCCCAGGGGCAGTTCAGAGCCGAGGGGGAGCAGGGAGGACAGCCCTGGAGATCCATGGATTGCACAAGGTCCTTAGGCCTCTGAGTCCCCCGGTTGTCCACATCAGACCCCACTGAAGTTCAAGTTGCCCTAGGCAGCTGCCCTAGGCTGGGGGACATTACTCTTTCAGAGACGTGCAGAAAACTTTCCCCCAAATTTCCTGTCATTTACAAATTCTGAAACATACAGGGTGACTAAAGGAAGAAGCCATCCTTAGATTACTAAAATATTTACTGAACTACTCTTACCAAGAGGAATTCGCTCTTCGCACTTAATGGACATAATTGTCTGATCTCTGAGCCTGGAGAGGAGGCCCCAACCTTTTTGGCCCCAGGGACCAGTTCCACAGAAGACAATGTTTCCGCGGCCACAGACAGGTACCAGTCTGCGGCCCGGGGGTTGGGGAGCACAGCCTTGCGTGATCCTCATTTTCTCAACCTGCAGAATACGGGTGGTCGTCTCTGCCTCCTGGTGCCCGGTGCCACTGCGAGGGACAGGTGGCCCACCCAGTACAGGTGAGTCACGTAGGATAGCGCCAGCAAGAAGCGCCGAGTACCCGTGAGCTGTAGCTGAGCAAACAATACACACACGCGCGTGCACATATGTAGATTTGCACAGCACCGGCCTGGCTGGGGAGCAGACGCTTGCTCCGTTCAGGGCCTTTTAAGATTGGAGCACTTGGCACTCGGCCCGTCCCCTCTGTGGTCTGGTCACGGTTGGCTTAGAAGCTGCCGGGGGCTTCCTACCTCCATATAAACGCCGATCTAAAATTCAACTTGAACTTCAGGGAGGTCTGATGTGGACAACCGGGTGACTCAGAGGCCTAAGGACCTTGTGCGATCAATGAATCTCCAGGGCTGTCCTCCCTCCCCCCACCCCCTCGGCTCTGAACTGCAGCCTGGAGCAAACGGCAAAAGGGGTCCCTGCCCCAGCACCCACACCCCTTCTGGGTAGCTCCCGCCTGCCCTGCTCCCGCCAGCCGGGCGCTGCCCTGTGCCGCCTCCCGCTGCAGAACACAGCAGCGCCTGCCCCGAAGCTGCCCCACCCCTCCCTCTCCTGTTGCCAGGGTGTCACAGGCCATGGGGACAAACAGCTTGCCTCTTCAAATATTTTGTGCACCCAGGACTTCCTGCTTCCTGGGAGCAAAGATTAAAGGCTTTTGTAAGTGCTAAAAAATGTTTAAGCCCATGCTCTGTGCTCTCTCTTGACAAGTGCAATCATCTCTGAATGTTCGGTGGCTAAGAAATGTCACTTTCTACAGCAAGACCTACCTTCCTTCAGCCTTGTTTCCACAGTGTTTTATGCCCCCCACAATGCTAATAGACCCCAGCCCTAGAGGGTCTCAAGTTAGAGCTTTATAGAAATATTCTACATGGAATTTTTTAATGAGGCCTTTTTAAAATTTAAAATGTCCTACGTGTAAGTAAAATAACTAAACGGTATATGATGATTTAAAATGAAAATGAAACGTCCTTGGCATTACTCTCCACTGCTAACAGTTTATTCTATACTTTTCTAAAAGTGAATATTCTAGGCCGGGCACGGTGGCTCACATCTATAATTCTAGCACTTAGAGAGACCAACGCTGGAAGATCACTTGAGGCCAGGAGTTCCAGATCAGCCTGGACAACATAGGGACACCCCATCTCTATAAACAAATTTAAAAATTAGCCGGGCACGGTGGTGTATGCCTGTAGTCCCAGCTACTCAGGAGGCTGAGGCAGGAGGATCACTTAAGTCCAGGAGTTCAAGACCAGCTTTAGCAAGAGGGAGACCCTGTCTCTACAAAAAATAGAAAAAATTAGCCAGGTGAGGTGGCACGTGCCTGTAGGCTCAGCTACTTGGGAGGCTGAGGCAGGAGGATCGCTTGAGCCCAGAAGTTTGAGGTTGCAGTGAGCTATGATGAGGCCACTGCACTCCTAGCCTGGGTGTGTCTCAGAAAAAAAAAAATTAAAAAGTGATTATTCTAAACACATACACATACAATATAACATACACAAACATATATAAGCACATCGCTAGTTATTTTCCTTTCTTACTCAAGATACATAAATGTATAATGAAACATATATATGATATTATATATAAGTGTTTACCGTATGCCAAGCTCCGTTCTAACTGCTATCTATTTATTAAATCATTTGACCCACACGTCAACCCTATGAGTTGGTACTACTATTTTTCTCACTTTCCCAAAGAGACGCTAAGGTCTGGAGTGATCAATTACTCGCCAAGGTCATGGCCAGTAAGTGGAGCTGCTGGGATTTGAACCCCCGAAATCTGACTTGAGCACTGGCTTTCTTATCCACAAAGCTGTTGCCCTTTGATTGTTTTTTTTTTTTTTTTTTTTACCAATGTGTGTGTGTGTGTGTGTGTGTGTGTGTGTATAAAATGAGTATCTCCCTGTTGGTACATATCTAAAACATTTAATTGGAAAAGGTGAAGAACTTAAGTAATATTTAGCTAAGTTTTAAGTCTCATTCATTTTCTTTATAGAGAGTACACCGTTCTTGGTTAGAACAGTCTACTCCTATCAACTCACACTGCCAGATTCAGCCTGTGCCCGGCGCAGCTGAACATTCCCTGCTCCAGCCCTGGCTCCCTTCACCTTTGCTATGCTATTTTCACAGCTGCGTAGTATTCCACTGAATGGGTGGGCTGTAAGTTTGTTGTGATATATTGAAAATAGGTTGTCTCCAGTTGTAAGATCAATGTTATGTTATGCACCTTTGTGCAGGAGTTGCTGGGTCAAAGAACAAGTAGAGTGACATTTTAATATATGCTGTTATTTTGTTCCCAGAAGATTTCGTAAATTTAAACTCTTATCCAGAGTGTCTAAAAACAACTATTTCTCCATACTCTCACCAGACCAGGGTATTAACAAACCTCTTCCTGTTTGTCCATCAGACAGGTGAAAAAGTCTCTCCTTGTTTTAATTTTTACTCTCTGAGTGAAGTTCTGCATCTTTTTATATCTTTATTAACCATGTTAATTTATTTTTCCACAAAGTGGAAAAATCCATGTCTGATGCATTCCTTTTGTCTTCAGGGTTGTCTGAAAACTTATTTCTTTTTTTATTTTTAATTATTATGGGCACATAATCGTCGCATAACTTTATAGGGTATGGTGATGTCTTGATACAGGCACAGAATGTGAACTGATGGAATCAGGGCGACTGGGGTATCCGTCACCTCAGGCATTTGACATCTCTTTGTGTCAGGAACATTCAGGTTCCACTCTCTCACTTATTTCCAAGTGTACCCTCACTTATCGTTGATTGCAGTCACTTCGTTATGCCAAAATACTTTTAAGTATTGTTTATTCCTAATACTATATAAAATGCGGGGCTTTGAAATGGGGCATTTACACTTCCAGGTGTGAAAATCTCCCCTGTTGTTTCTGGGCTGGGCTCCGTGGTGTTCCCCAGCGGTGCCTAATGACAGCGCCCCAGGACTGTGTGCCTTGTCCCCCTGCTGCTGAGCCGAGGTCTGGGAGCCCCGTGTGGGTACCTGGCCGCGAGGCCGCCTGTGCTGCCGGTCTGTCCAACAACCCAAGGTTGGGTGCAGTCTTATCCCTTCCGGTTCTCAGTGAGCTCTTGGCCCAGGAATGACCAGACACACCCAACGCAAGGCCAGAGAGAAAGGAATTTTACCAAGAAGGACGAGATGGGTTCTCAGAGCAAGGTGCTGAACGGGCCCCTGTTGTATTGAAACAATAGGGCCTGAATGTTTCTTAACGCTTTGCAAGAGCATTTTGCTCAGTAAGAAAACTTACTTTTGGTTAAAATAACTCTTAGTTTTTTTCTCAGGTTACTACCTAGATTTTTTTGTGATATTTCAATGTGCTTCATTTTTTAAATGTGGTTAACTTGTCAGTCTTTCTTTCGAGGCTGCTAGGGGAGCTCACGTGGGTCACTCACTTGCTCCTCCCTGGGACTCCGGACTTTCATCACGGAACCATTTACCCGGGGAGAGTAGCCTCAGGGAGGCTCAGTGACCTGCCCCAAGCACACCATGAACAACTGTGACACTGGCTCCCGGCCTCTAACCCTACCCCCCTCTAACCCTAAACTGGCCTCCCCATTCGGCCTCCCCCAGGACCTGGCAGCTCCGTCTAACCGGGACAGGGAAACGGTCGTTTCGTTAGCGACCCTCTTCCAGACACTCTTCCAAAACTCCAAAGGAAACCAACGAACACAAAACGAACACAAACGAGCACATAAACACGCAGACAGACGTGAGCATCGACCTCTTTATTCAGTTGGTTATGGCGCTGAAGGGGGGAAACTGAGGCTGCCTTTGCTGCGCACTCTGGGGACGCGACTCCATTCGCTCCCCGAGACTGAGCCCACCCGACGCAGAGGACTCGGGGTCTCTTGGCCACGGCCTATCCGCCTGGCCCTGACTTGGGACAGGAGCACCGTCCTCGGCCCGCCAGCCTCTCCCTTCCCCGGCGCAGGTGAGCGGCCAGGTGCCCGGGCCACCGGGGGGACTTTGACGGGCCGGCTCCCGGAGCTCCACGGCGCGGCGCGCAGACCCGAGCGCTCTCCCCGGCCCCGCCGCCCGCCCGCCGCGCGTCCCGCGCCCCCCCAACGGCCCCAGCCGCGCCCCCGCCCAGCGCGGCGCCCTGCGGGCCAGGTGAGATGCAAACCGCGCCCTGCCCGCGCCGCCCGCACGCCCACCGCGCCGCCCGCCGGCCTCCGCCACCCGCCGTCTCAGAGTCCCGGCGCGCCCGGCCCTCCCCGGGCCGAACCGGAGCGCGCCGGCCGCAGCAGGACCTCGCCCGGGCGCCCGCACCGCCCCGCCGCTCTCCCGCCTGCCGCCCGCGGCGCTGCCAATCTCAGGGCGGGGCGGGGCTCGTCCGAGGGCTCGGACCAATGCGGGCGCGGGGCGGGGCCAGGGCTCGGGGCTGGGCCAATGGGGACTCTGGGGCAGGGCCGAGGCGGGGCCGGGGCGGGGCCAGGGCTCGGGGCTGGGCCAATGGGGGCTCTGGGGCGGGGCCGGGGCGGGGCCAGGGCAGGACTCGGGCTCTCAGGCCCCGGAACCCCGCGCCGCCGCCGCCACCGCGCTCCTCCCGCGCTCCTCCCGCGCTCCTCCCGCGCCCGCGCCATGGACCCCGCGCTGGCCGCCGAGATGGGCGAGGCCGTGGCGCGCACGGTGCTGCAGTACCGGCGAGACGCGTCGGGGTGGCAGCCGTGCCGGGAAGGCGTGAGTGGGGGGCTGGGCGGGAGGGGTCCCCAAAGACCCCCGGCTCCTCCTCTGCCCGCCGTCCCCGCACCCCAACCTCCCGGGCGCCGTTCTGTGCACCCCGCTATCCTGGGGCGGAGTGACAGGGCCTCCCTGGGGGTGTTTTCTTACAAAAAGCCTGGGCCTGCGGTGCTCGCAGTGACCCCGGGGTCAGTGTCCGTCCCTGGCGCGGGGTGGCTTGGCCAGGTCGCCAGGCTGGTGAGTGGTGGTTGGGTCGAATCCGCAGCGCCGGTTCCGTAGCCGCTTCGCTCTGTGCCTTGTAGCACGAACCCCTCTCTTGGTCTTCCCCAGAGAGTGGCGAGGGAACAGTTTTGCTTACTCCCCACTTCTGATTTTTAGCAAATAGCCCTAAATTTGCTCGCAGAGAAGGAAGCAAAATGTGTGGCGGCTTTTAAGGCGACTGGACAGCCACCCACAGCTCTGGGAGTCGGTCGTGGCGTTGTGCCCTGGTGGCTCTGCCCCGCACGGGTTCGAGGGCCGCCCGGCCGTGCGCGTCTCCTGCGGCCTCTACCCCCTCTTCTGTAGAGCGGAGGACGGAGCCAGGACCCCCGCGCACTGCTGGCCCTAAACTTCTGTGGTTCTCTGTGCCTTTTGACAGAATGGAGTTTCAGTCTCCTGGAGGCCATCTGTGGAGTTTCCCGGGAACCTGTAAGTGCCCGCCTGGCTCAAAGCTTGTGGGAGACGTCACACCCTTCCTGGTGTCTCCCTGAATCTGCCTCCTGTAAGATTCCAATCAGCCCCCGGGCATCCTGTGATCAACTTGCCAGTTGTCTTGCAGACAAGCGCTAACTTCTGTTTTTCACTCGAATCATTGCCAGCAGACCAGGTTCTCTTGCAAGCTGCCAGCACCCCTTTCCGCAGGGCCCAGGGGAGGGGCAGTAAGTCGTGGCCCCTCCCGGCAAGCCTGTCCTGTACAGACCTGGCCTGGTCACCCTCTAGCCCTGTGATACCATCCCAGGATAAACACGTGCTGCTGATGCCTTGGGATCCAACTCCCTTTTTGTGCTCCAGGTACCGAGGAGAAGGCATCCTGAGGGGGACCCCAGAGGAGGTGTGGGACTGCGTGAAGCCAGAGGCCGGGGGCCTGCGGGAGAAGTGGGATGAGAATGTGACCAGCTTCGAGATCATCCAGACCATGACCGACGTAAGTTTTCCCAAGCCTGTTATCCCTGGACAGTGTCTGGGTCCTGCTGCAATAACCCGACCTTGTCCCCTCCGGAGAGGGCCTGTCCCCCCTTTTGGCCAAGGGCGGCTCCCTGCAAACACAGGCTGGCCACACTCAAGCCCAGCCTTGGCCCAGTGCAGGGCGGAAGCAGCAGGACTCGGAGAGGCGGGGAAGCCCCAGATAGCGCCTAGGAGATGTCGTGCGGGGTGACCCTGGCTCTGAGGATGCTTCGGTGGTGCCTAGATCTGGCCCATCAGCTCCAGTTGTCCCTTGATGGGACCAGTGCTCAGGACCGACAGAGCCCGGCTGACGAACCGGGTTCTCCGCCAGCGGTGGGGCCATGCCACCCCGCCTGGCGCTGTCTAGCAGGACTGTCTGTGACGAAAGAAATGTCCTATTTGAAGGTGGTTAGGTTAGGGAAATTAATTGTTAATTCTATTTAATTTTAATTAGTCTAAATGTGAATTTACGATAGCCCCATGGAGCGGGTGGCTACCATCCAAGACAGTGGGGGTCTAGACGCGTCTGTCCCTGAGTCCTCTGTGGCTTTAAGATCCCACCTCATTTTGATTACGGAAGTCCAGGGGGGAAAAAAGGTCATGACTAAAGTCAGAGAGTCCCCTCGCCGACCTGTTCAGTCTGAATGGTGCCTTGGTTTCGGACCAAGCTCTGTGGGCGGCCCCCTTTCTGGTGTTGACGCAGATGGTGCTGCGAGTCCTGCAGCGACAGTGGTCAGCTGGGGACCCGAGTCTGCAGCTGTCGGAGCCAGGGTCAGCCCTGGCCAGGAGTGTACGTTGCAGCTGTTTCCTAGCTCGTCGTCACAGGAGTTGATGGCAAGGGTTCCCGGAGGATGGGGCACGTGTCCCTGGGGTACAAAAGGCGATTTTAGGTTCGTTAACAGTCAAAGCTGAAATTGCATCACACAGTGAGGAGGTTGCCCTGTTTCGATTCTTTGATCTCTTTGACAGTTTGAAAGGGAGAGCCTGATGATCCTCTGAGGCCTGTTTAGCACTCGCCAACCTCCTTTACAAGGAAGTAGACAGCTGGCCTCAGGCTCGGAATTAGAACCTGATAATCCCTTGCAGTTGCCTGGAACTTATGGCAAGTGATTCTTTTTTTCCATTTCTAATAGTTAAATAACTTCCTTTTTAAAACCAACTTACAAGTTTTTAAAAGTGAGCACATTTAGAGAACAATGTTAAGTGAACAATAGGATAGAAGATACCAGAGAGAGAAAATAAAAAACAAAGAAAAGGTAATATGCAAACAATTACACACAAGTGATTGAGGTTGAGGAGACATGGGTTAATGCCCTTCTAAATGTAACACAGGGCCGTGCATAGAATTTCCTTCTCAAAGGCGAGGGTGGCTGCATCCTTTTAGTAAGTTCGCACCCCTTTTCTCAGTACAGCGACTAGTGGGACATGAGACAGAATGACAGGCCTAGGAAATCGCGTGACACCCGGGCTGCTCAGTGACAGGCACTGTCATTCATTGGGTCATTTTACACCGTGCTGCAAGCTGGGGGCGCTTCAGCCAAAACACCATACAGGGGGCAGGGCCCAGTGTGCGGGAGGCAGAGGTGTGCCCACGTTCACACAGGTAGCAAGTGGCTCCAGGGAGTTGGGAGCCAGCTGGTGACTCCAGACCCCCTGGGCTCCCCGTCTTCACTGGTGCCACCTCCCAGAGGAGCCCGAGAACCTCCTTCTGGCCCCTGTCTTCTCCCTAGCTCCGGTTCTGGGTCCTGAAGACCCGATTCCTAAGCGGCCCCGGGAGTGACGTGTTTTTTTTTTTTGTTGCTGCTTTGCAAGCGCCTCCCTCACCCAGGCGGCCGGCGCGGCAGGTGGCCGGTGCTCACCTGCGCCGAATCTTGCTTTCCACGCCATGGGAGCGGTGCTTCCCTTCGTGGTCAGCTTGCCCCTGGGGCTGGGTGGGAGATGCTGGCGGGATCTCTCCCCTTCTCTGGGCACCCTGGTTTGTCCTTGGGGGATCGAGCCCTACCCCAGTTAGTCTTCAAACTTTCTGCTTACGCCCCTCCGACAGATTTTTGAGAAAATTTTGTACACCATCCCCACACACCCAGTTGACATGTAGCATTCATTGGCAGCTACATTTTCATAAGTTGCAATGCCTGTCATTTCTGACTGTAATAAGTCTGTCAACTTTGAACAATGACATCGTTCTTTTAGATGTATCTAAATTATATATGAATTTTAATTTACTGTCATCCATTTAAGAAATACATGAGCAAATTTTTCCTAGTCACTAATTGTGTGTAACTGTTTTCCTTGAATTTAAATTTCCATTCCACAAAGCCCTCTGAATTTTATCCTAATATAATACATGTTTATTCTTGAAGGTCATCATCTTGCATCATAAACATGCATATAAATGGAAATTTTTAAAAAATATCATTTATTTCCTATGACCATAAGACTCTAATTGTTAAAAAAAAACTGGATTAAGGTATGACTGTAATTCGTTAAAACAACATGATTACATTATGAATTTTGATGAAGAGCTGTTAACCCCAGAAAGTAAAATATTTTGCACCTATGGATGAGATGAATGATATCTTTTTTCCAATTAATTCATGTGTCCATGAAAAAGATACGACTTCTTGCTAGAAAGATACAGCCTTCCTCAGACCTAACTGCAAAGAGGAGAGAAAGCACCAACTGCTGGTGAGTTCATGGCACAAAAACAGCAGAGAAGAAATTGACAAGTGGTGGTTCCTTGTCATTCAGTGAAATGGTGAAAATGTGTAGAAAGGGCCCTTCCTTGCAGATTGGCATTTGTCAGCATGCTTTTGACAAATCTCAAATATTGTAGTTCTAAAATAGATAGATAAATAGATGGATAGGTGTGGATGGATGGATGGATGGATGGATGGATGGTTGGGTGGATGGATGGATGATTGGGTAGATGGATGGATGGGTGGATGGTTGGATGGATGGATGATTGGGTGGATGGATGGATAGATGGATGGTTGGGTGGGTGGATGGATGGATGACTGGGTGGGTGGATGTATGTATGTATGTATGGATGGATGATTGGGTAGATGGATGGATGGATAAATGGATGGATGGATGTATGATTGGGTGGATGGATGGTTGGATGATTGGGTAGATGGATGGATGGATAGATGTATGGATGGATGGATGATTGGGTGGATGGATGGATAGATGGATGGTTGGGTGGATGGATGGATGGATGATTGGGTGGGTGGATGTATGTATGTATGGATGGATGATTGGGTAGATGGATGGATTGATGGATGGATGGATGGTTGGGTGGATGGATGGATGATTGAGTAGATGGATGGATAGATGGATGGATGGATGGATAAATGGATGGATGGATGTTTGGATGGATGGTTGGATGATTGGGTAGATGGATGGATGGATGAATGATTGGATGGATGGATGGATGATTGGGTAGATGGATGGATAGATGTATGGATGGATGGATAGATGATTGGGTGGATGGATGGATGGATGGATGGATAGATGGATGATTGGGTGGATGGATGGATGGATGGATGATTGGGTAGATGGATGGATGTATGGATGGATGAATGATTGGGTAGATGGATGGATATAGATGGATGGATAGATAGATGGATGGGTGGATGGTTGGATGGATGACTGGGTGGATGGATGGTTGGATAGATGGATGCATGATTGGGTAGATGAATGGATGGTTGGGTGGATGGATGGATGATTGGGTAGATGGATGGGTGGATGGATGGATGATTGGGTAGATGGATGGGTGGATGGATGGATGATTGGGTGGATGGATGGATGGATGGATGATTGGGTGGATGGATGGGTAGATGGATGAATGGATGGAGTGGGTGGATGGATGGATGATTGGGTAGATAGATGGATGGATGGATAGATGGATGGTTGGATGGATGATTGGGTGGATGGATGGATGATTGGATGGATAGATGGATGGGTAGATGGATGACTGGATGCATGTATGGATGATTGGGTGGATGGATGGATGATTGAGTGGATGGATGGATGATTGGGTGGATGGATGGATGATTGGGTGGATGGATGGATGGATGATTGGGTGAATGGATGGTTGGATAGATGGATGCATGATTGGGTAGATGGATGGATGGTTGAGTGGATGGATGGATGATTGGGTAGATGGTTGAATGGATGGATGGATGATTGGGTGGATGGATGGATGGATGATTGGATGGATAGATGGATGGGTAGATGGATAGGTAGATAGATGACTGGATGGATGGATGGGTGGTTGGATAACTGGGTGGATGGGTGGATGATTGGGTGGATGGATGGTTGGATAGATGGATGCATGATTGGGTAGATGGATGGCTGGGTGGATAGATGGATGATTGGGTAGATGGTTGACTGGATGGATGGATGGATGATTGGGTGGATGGATGGATGGATGGATGGATGGATAGATGGATGGGTAGATGGATAGGTAGATGGATGACTGGATGGATGGATGGGTGGTTGGATAACTGGGTGGATGGATGGATGATTGGGTGGATGGATGGTTGGATAGATGGATGCATGATTGGGTAGATGGATGGCTGGGTGGATGGATGGGTGGTTGGATGATTGGGTGGATGGATGGATGATTGGATGGATGGATGGATGATTGGATGGATGGATGGGTGGATAGGTAGATGGATAGGATTCAGAGACACACCATGAGTTTGTTACATGTATTACCTGTGCTGCTACCTTCAGTATTTTTTTCCAAAGTCTTCGTCATCTTGGTCTCCAAACACTATCCCTTGGGACTAATGCATTTGAGGGCAGTAATCAGGGGTGGAAACAGTGTATTTATTTATTTTTTTAAATTTCATCACTGCTACCATTCCTACCACACAATACCAGAATTTAGAAATGGCAAAATTGCCTTGTGTCTAACACCAAGCTTTGGAATATGCTTAAGAAAGGGGAAAACATGAAATTCTAACACCAGTGTATAGTGAGTGCCTTGATTAAACATTGCAATCAGCATTCGTGATTGTCCCTTTGGTATCCTGGGGGGTTTTGCACCCTGGGACGGTTCATGGGAAGTGATTCTAGATGGGTGGGGTCTGCCCTGCTTTTCTTCGAGCGAGGGGAGACCCAGCGTGTAGGCGCAGCCTGTTCCCAGGCAGGCCATTGTAGGGAGAACACATGGCCAGGGGTCATCTGGAAATTGATCCACAGGCACCCGCTGGGCAGTGCTGGTGCCCCGGGCAATGAATGCCTGCTGGGAGACTATTCCCCCAGGCCACACGTGTCCCTGCCAAGGGGTTTCTTAGCAACACCTGTCCCCGAGTCTGAATACCTAAGCGGGAGACAAAGAGGAGAGGCCTTTACTGATTTCTCCCACCTGACCCTGACTTCTCCAGGACTGTCCCACCACAGGCCCGGCCTGTCCTTCCCCACTGCGACCTTGAGGGTACCCGGGCCCTGCTCTCCCCCGGGGTGGTGGGCGGCAGGATAGGCACGGGCAGGTTGGGGTGTCCTGGGTTGGTTTGCACAGTGGGAGAGTGGCCTGCTGGGACGGTCCTGCAGTGGGTGGGGTGGAGGTTGTGCCCTCTGGGGCCGGAGGGGCCGAGCAAGTGCAGGGCGGCCTCCCTGCCTCTCCCTGGAGCCGGCCCTCTCTCTCCGGAGCCCGTCTCCACATGCGCTTTGTGCGGCGTTCCCTGATCTTTCCTCGCCTCGGTTTCCTCATCTGTGCGGTGGCTTACGATGCCTGTGTCTCAGGGTAGAGGGGCAGCTGAGAGCTCGGTCCAGCCTGCTCTCGCTCCATTTAAGTGGCAACTCTCAGGCTCTGTGGCCAGGCGTCCGCTCAGCGTGTTCCGACGTGCAGCTGGACAGCCGCGGACAGCCCTCGATTCACAGACGGCGCGTTTCAGCCGCGCTCAGCTCTCCCTGGGGAGCCCCGCTCTGGACCCTGCGGTTCACGGCGCCTCTCTGCCGTCACCACCCCACTGCAGCGCCAGTCCCTTCCCGGGGCCTGGGGTGGCCGGGCGGGCGGGGTGTGGCCGCAGCAGCAGCCGACGCGCCCTGTGCTGCCTTGGCAGACGCTGTTCGTGTCCAGGACCTGCACGCCCTCCACCGCCATGAAGCTCATCTCCCCCCGGGACTTCGTGGACCTGGTGCTGGTCAAGAAGTACGAGGACGGGACCGTCAGCTCCAACGGTGAGCGTGGCTCCCGCGGCGCCGGGCTCTGTCTCCTGCGCGCTCTGCCCCTCGCGGAAAGCCGGGCAGCTGGAAAGCACCAGAAACGCCACGCCGCGTCCGGCTCCCCGCGCCTGCCCTGCCGGGAGTGGGGTGCTGTGCGGGGTCCGGGGCGACAGAGTCCACACGCCGGTAATGCCGCTTGTAAGCCGCAGGCGTGGGCAGCCCCGTCCGTCCTTCCTTCCTGCGCGGGCTCGCGGTTAGTGCCACGGACTTGCGGGTTAGCCGGGCACGAGGCTCAGCGTGCAGCGATTCCCCGCGTACACAGGGCGGCTTCCTGAGGGGCGGGGCGCTATTCACCTCCCCCCTGCCCCTGTCTGCACATTGCCACAGGCCCCCGCCCCGCACAGCCCTGCCCCGCGACGGCCCCGCCCCCGCTCGCTCCCCTCTCGCACGGCCCGCGCCCCGCACGGCCCCTGCCCCCCCCGCAGAGCCCCTCCCCGCACGGCCCCCTCCGCCGGCCACACCCACCCGCACGCGCCGCCCCAGCCGCCCCACCACACGGCCCGTCCCGCACGCCCCCCCCGTCCCGGCACGGCCCCCGTCGCCGCACGGCCCATCCCACACGCCGCCGCCCACGCCCGTCCCCGCATGGCCCCCGTACCCACACGGCCCCCACCCCACAGGCCCGTCCCACGGCCCCCGTCCCCTACAGCTCCTGCTGTGCCTCTGGGTCTTCCGTGTGGGCGAGTTGGTGTCCACATCCAGGCCTCTCTGGCTGAAATTGAGAGGGGCACTGCCTTCTCCCACCGCCAAATATTGCATTCTGGAATGTTCTTTCCCCTAATATTCTGGCAGGCTGGGGAAACCTATCTGGAGTGTGGGCATGTATATGTGTGAGTGTGAGAGTGTGTGTGCATGTGTGTGAGAGCGCGTGCGTGCATGTGTGTGAGAGCGTGTGCGTGCTTGTGTGTGAGAGCGTGTGTGTGCCTATGTGTGAGAGCGTGTGCGTGCATGTGTGTGAGAGCGTGTGCGTGCATGTGTGTGAGAGCGTGTGCGTGCATGTGTGTGAGAGCGGTGGGTGCTTGTCGTGGAGAGGTGGTGTTCATGTTGTGAGACGTGTGGTGCATGTGTGTGAGGGCGTGTGCGTGCATGTGTGTGAGAGCGTGTGCGTGCATGTGTGTGAGAGCGTGTGCGTGCATGTGTGTGAGAGCGTGTGTGTGCTGACTCCGGGCTGCAGGCCGGCGCTGCCCCTCCCTGGCACCTGGGTGGCGGGCCCGGTGCCCTGAGCTGCGGCTCACGGCAGCCCGCGCGTGTCTTCCAGCCGTGCACGTGGAGCACCCGTCGTGGCCCCCAACGCCGGGCTTTGTGCGAGGCTTTAACCATCCCTGCGGCTGCTTCTGCGAACCTCTGCCAGGGTAAGGAGCCTCCCGCCTGGGGCGGCCTCGGACCGGCCGTGCCCGCGGGACAGCTGTGCCAACGGCGCTTTGTGACTCACAAGAGTGCGGACGCTGACCGCTCTCTGGGCCTGGGTGCCACTGCGCGCTTCCACGTGTGCCCGTCAGTGGCATGACAGTGGAAGTGCCCGGCACGTGGGAGGAGTCATGGGGGGTGTCGTTCTTATTTTCTATGTGAGAAGCCCTCCCTCCAGCCCCGCAAGGCAGGTTAGGCCAGTGTCATGGTCCCACGTAGACCTGAGACCGGAGGCCCCACAAGAACAGCACGTGGGCGGGCTCCGGCAGAAACTGCACTGGGAACATGAGACATTTTCCACCAGGTGGATAAGAGTCGGGAGGATAAAACCCCCACGCCAGCTGGGTTTGGTGGGAGCCCCATGACCCCGCCTGCAGCTCCCTGTGACCCCCTCTGCCCCCTGGCGTGAGGCACGATGGCCCCCAGCAAGCCGTGCCCGCTGCGGGAGAGAAGACAGCCAGGCGTCTCCGCCCCCGAGAAGATGGGCTCCGCTCCCGTCTTGAAAGGTCCCCCCATCTGGCCTGGCACCCCTGAGGGGCGAGCCCAGCGCCCGGCTGCCAGGTGGGAGGACAAGGACACCAGGCAGAGGTTTAGAGCCCCCGCCCCAGCCCAGGAACCTTGGGCACCCAGGTGTCGAGGGCACTAAACTGGGTGCAGGCGTGTGTGTGTGCGTGTGCACATGCTAGAGCACGGCTATGCTATTTTCAGACTCAAAATGTTGTGTTTAAGAAGAATCCTCCAGGGCAGGGTCTGAGAGCCGGCGCAGTAAGGGCGTCACTCAGAGGTGCCGGGTCTGGGCTTGGCACATCCCTGGGGCCCCGAGGCCGGCTCCTGGGATGGTGGTGCAGGCATGTCCCCGTCCCTGCCTGGCGTCCTCGAGGGGCCTGCGGGACACACCAGGACCCACCCACAGCTGCGGTTTCTTTCACTGTCAACCCGGGTGGTTCCCGGGACAATCCAGTGCCCTTCAGGTAGTTCATGGCACAGCGGGTTCCTGGCAGCGCCTGGCCGGGCCTGGGGGGAGGAGAGCTAGCCCTGGGGCTGACCCACAGCGGCGCCTCGGGATCGCCTTGAGCTCCGAGCGCCACCCCACCATTCCCGATCACTCTGGGAACACAGGCCTGTTCTAGACACTACGGTCGAAGCCGGCACCGACGGTGATAGCAGCAGCAGACACTCACACGGCACTGCCGCGTGCCAGTTATATAAATTAACTCATTCTCATTTTTATAAAGCCTCAAGGCACCATTATCATCCCCATTTTTTTAGATGAGGACACCGGGCACAGAGAGGTTAAGTAACTCACCCAAGATCACACAGCTAGGACATAAAAGAGCCACGGTCCAAGCCCTGCCGCCGGGCTCCGGATTCTGCTCTTGACCTGGATGCGGCTTCTCTCAGCAGACAAGTGTCCGCCCTCGCGGAGGTTGGACTCCGGTGGGGGTGGGAGGCAGACAAGGCACACCTGCCAGTAGCTGTGTCAGGTGGCCACACTCGTAACTACCAGACGCCAAGTGCTCCGGAGCAAGCTGGAGCCGGGTGACGGTGCCAGGAGAGGTGAGAGTGAGTCTCCCTCACGTCCCCCTATGGGGGACGTCTCCCCATAGGGCATGTGAGCAGAGAGAAACTCGGGCGTTTTGGGCCCGTTGGCAGAGGGAGGGTCCACAGCGGAGGATGGAGCAGGTGCCATGTCCCAGGGACCGGAGTGGGGCGGGCGCTTCCGTGGCGCTGGGAGGGGAGCGCGGGGGCGGGGGCGGGGCCTGGGTGCGCGGGCAGCGGGCTGCTCTCCTCCGAGGAAGACGGGACGCCACAGGAGGGTTCTTGCAGGACGACCTCTGACCCCGGGTTTAGCCTCCGCGGTGCCCCTGGGGTGGGAGGGGCGCGGGGGAGCGAAGGCACAGGGGCGGGCAGCCAGGCCGGGGGGAGAGGCGCTCTCCAGGCCAGGCGTCCGCTTGCAGCCGCGGCGCATCTCAGCGCCGTTCACGGGGCGCCCGCTCGGTGCGCAGGAAGAGCGCCGCGTGTGCCCCGCGTGGTCTCGCTGCGTCCTTATGACCCACGCACGCGGCGGTGCCGGCATCCCCGCCTCCTCCTCTGAGCCCCCCTTTGCCCTTTGTGTTGCCGCCGCGTGATGTGACGCGCGGTGCGTGCCCCTCCCACGCGGCCTCCCACGCGTTTCGCCTCCCGCGGAGCCCGGTGCCCACGCCGGGGAACACGCGTCGTCACTGAGTCAGATTCCCCTCCCCTGCTCATGTCCCCAAGCCAGAGAGGAGGCGGGGAGGCTGGAGTGGCGGGCGGAGGAATGGAGAGGGAGTGGGGCCCAGCGCAGGCGGGCAGGACGGGCAGGGAGGGGCGGGCGGGCGCTGCCAGGCTGTGGGTGTGAGGGCGTCCAGTCCGGCTGCATAGTTCACAGCTGCGGCCCGGGCCGCACTGCTGGGAGGGGCGGGGGGTGGTGGCTTTCACGGGTCTCCAGTGCCAAGCCTGCCACCTGCACGATGCCAGGAACATCTGGTGGGCAGGTGCGGCGCCGCCTGCCGTTCCCGGTGAGGCTCTGGGGCCGTGGACAGCTCCGTTCCAATGAGGTGCCGCATGGTCTCCGCAAAGCCAGCGCTGCCTTTGCTGCCCTGGCCATTGTGAACTTGGAGACTTGGTGACAGGGAAGGCCCCTGACGTCCCCACCCGGTTGTGTCCTGTCTCCACCCACGTGCGCCCCTTGCCGAATCCGATTCTGCCGGTGGCCGCTCCCCCATGGCCCTCGCACCAGAGGCCAGGCCTGCGGCCCGGGGCCAGCGGGTGCAGCCAGCCACGCAGCGGGTGGTGGCAGGACGCGGCCTCTCCTGCCAGCCCGGGCTCCGTGCCGGGCCCCACGCCCCTTCCCGCTCTGGGCACCTGCCACTACCCGGGCAGAGTCCCCTCACGTGTGCTCAAGTTAGGTGTCGGCTCCCTAAACCAGCGGTTCTCAAAATCGCGGCCTGAGGTCTCACAGGACGCCCTTGAACGTGACGGAGGGCTCCAGCATGCTTTCGTTAGGGTTGCAGCTGTCGTAGTTTCATGTCTTTAACACTGGGAAACTCCTTAAATAATGTCACAACAAAAATACATTACATACTAACATAAGTAGCATTTTTATGCAAAATAACTATCTTTCAAAACAAAAAGCAGTGAAAAGAGCGGCGACATTTGTGCGGTTTTGCCAATTTCTTTCGAGTCAGGTTTGCTACAGTCCATACCTGCCCGTGCGCTTGGTCTGTGGTGACATGCTTCTGGAAAACTCCGCCCTGTGGTTGGTTGGTTATGAAAGAAGGAAACTGAAAACAGTCGCATCTTAGTGCTGTTGTGAACTAGCTTTGGCCTTGCAGACCCCTGGAAAGGTCCCGGGAACCCCGGAGGTGCCAGGCCCCACGCAGAGGAAGGGCAGCGCCTGCCAGCTCCTCCCGGGCGGGCACAGGGCGGGTTTTCCGAAAGCATTTGCCGGAAGAATCGGGGAGCGGACAACCGCCTCTTGGGGCTGGGGGTGAGGAGTCCTCCCTGGCGGGTTTGCAGAGTCTGTCCCCAACAAGAGGACGTGTTACCTTCCGGAAGGTGCGCGGGTCCAGAGGGGACCCGGGCCGTGGGCGGGGCGGGGGTTAGGCGCAATCACCGCGGACCGGCCCTTCCTGCTGGGCCGGGCTCCCCCGCCTGCCCATGCCCATCCCCTGTCACTGATACGCCCCCCAGCTCTGCTGTCCTTCTTTGCAGGGAGCCCGGCAAGACCAGGCTGGTCACCTTCTTCCAGAGCGACCTGGGCGGCTACCTCCCGCGCGGCGTGGTGGACTCTTTCTTCCCCCGCAGCATGGCCGGCTTCTACGCCAACCTGCAGAAGGCCCTGAAGCAGCTCCACGCCTGACGCCGTCCCGCGCTGGCCAAGAGCTGCCGTGCGTCACCAAGGAGCTCGGGCGGCTGGGGCGCCAGAGTGCCTGGGTGCACCCAGAACTCACCGGTGGGCGGCGGTGCTCGGGGGACAGCAGCCAGAGGCAGCGGCCACCCTCCCCCTCCTTCTCCGCCAGGGCGGGCGCGGGAGGAGCCGGCACTCGCGCCCCCGGGCAGGGCGCACCCAGGCCCCGGCCACCGGCCCACGTGACGCCAGAGCCTCCCGCTGCCGGCCCCTCTCAGAGACCGTGTCCCTGTCCCTCGAGGAGACCGTCACCGGCACTGACAACCAGACGCCCCGCTGTCTTTTCAGCACCTGGAGCTCCCCCAGACCTGGGCCCCGGACCCCAAATGTATTTTCTGATAGAGACCCCCGTTATGTTTTTAGCATCCCACAAGATTTTTCCCCTTAAAAAGATGTCAGCTTGGGAAGTGATGGTGTAAGAATGGGATAAGCATTAAGGAAAAATAATTTCGATATTCCTTTTGTTGTGTCTTCGTTTGTACTGGGGGTTCCCCTCTCTGTGTCCCCTCTGTGAGTTGGTCTTCCCGTTCCCGGTGGACCAGGCGGTGGGGACCCTCCCAGGCCACACCTGCAGCCTCCAGGGTGACTCCCCTTTGCAAGTGACTGAACAAGCGAGCGTTGGTGTCTGCACGGGGAGCGCTGAGCAAAGAGCCTCCTCTTCCCTCCCTGGGCCTTGGCCTTCCTTCCCTGTCCTCCGCTGCAGAGGCCGAGGGAGGCAGCAGTTCTCGGCCTGCAGGCCCCGGCCGGGCCGTGTCGCTGTCCGGAAGGATGCAGCTCGGCCGTCGGCTCCACTCCTCGTTCTAGACCCTGCACCCAGACTGCGCCACCCCGGGGGCCAGCCCACGCGGTGTCGTCCCAGCGAGCGAGCACCTGGGCGGGGCCGTGGCAGCCCCGTGACGTCCTTGTCCTCTCTCTGGTCTGGCCACACCGTCCGGACAGGGACCCTCTCCCACCCCCGGCCACCTCCCCTGCGCTTCCACCGCCTGCCTTGTGAACAGGTCTCAGGTGTCCGAGCAGGGTCCCTGCCTCTCGCAGTTCCCAGCGCCTGTCTCTGGTGCAGGAGATTCCAAGCCCTCGGCCTCTGCTCCTCCAAAAGGAACACATGCCCCTTGTGTTACATAGTGACCGCGCCCCCACCCAGGAGTCCCGGGATGACTGTCTCTTGCATGTCCCAAGGCGTGACGAGCTTCACGACACAGCGGCTTGGTGTCAGGGGGCGGGCAGCGCCCTCGTTCTGTGTTCTAGAACAACTACGCGCCCCGCAGCCGAGCCAGTGAGACCATCCTGCCATCGCCCTTTCATCATCCGGAAATCTCATCAGATTCCAGAATTGGCTTGTAGGTCACTCGTCATTCGTCCAGTGAGTACCTGCTGGGTCCCTCCTCTGCGCCAAGCACGGCTCTGTGTCAGCTCCTCGCGAGTTGGTCTCCCAGTCCGGCCAGTTCCGGGTGCAGCAGCCGGGAGCTGCCACGCCTGCCCCTGTGGGCGCCAGGCCCCGGGAGGTCGTGGTCTCACCAAGAGGGGGCAGCCCTGCCGCGCGGGTGGAAGGCCGGCCCGCCAGCGACGCGCCTCCCCCGCCAGGGCTGCGCTGCGCCGGCCTTGCTCCCGCTCGCGGCTGCGGCATCGGCCGGCTGGCTCCGTCCTGGGCGAGGAGCAGAAAGCCTGCGCGTGGCCGAGCGCTGCCCTGGAAACCCGCTCCTGGATGGGCACGTGACGTCTCTGCCTTGATTCCTGTGTTTGAGGGAAAGAGCAGGGCCCGCACACCAACCCCAGCGAGGCCTGCTGGAGCGCGGGCGGGGGCAGGGGCGGGGCCGTGCGAATCGGCGCGGTGCTGGGCGGGCAGAGACGGGCGCCGCCCCGAGAGCCGCGTCCATGCTCCATCCACGGGTTTGCGCCGTCCGCAGTGTTTGGCTGGAGACATCCAAAGGCGCCGCTTCCCGTGCCCCGTGAGCTGTGCACGGGCTGGCTGGGCGGGAGCCGGCCCTCCTGCTGGTCCCGGACCCGGAGCCCCACGTCAGCCTGGAGGCCGGAAACCCGGGGCCCCGGCAGTTGAGCCCTCGGAGGCCCCATCCCAGCCAGCGAAGGGGGAGACAGGAGCAGGCCGTGGGAGGACCCTGGGCCCACCTGGGTCTGAGCCTAGTCTGCAGGTGACCTCTGCCCCGTCCACCCTCCCGCCTGGCCTGGTCTCCTAGGGGGTCTTCCTCGGGGCCCCAGCTCTGCCCTGTCCCCACCTTCCGGTCTTGGTGGAGACCCTTCCCCTTCCCTGGGCTTGCCCGGGCTCAGCGCCTGGCCGCTGGATGAGACTGGATTCTCGCCTGTAGGAACGTCACCATGTGCACAGGTGGGGAGGGTGCAGGCAGGGTGAGCCCTCTATCTCTCCCAGCCCCTTGCCCAGCACAGGCACGTCAGCCCCTGGGGAGTGGCTGTGGGACTGGGTCACACCTGCTGCTGGTCACCATGTTCCTCTCCAGCGTCACTAAAGGGGTTACGTGAAGATTAGCACCCCAGCTGGGTTTTCCGAGTCCACTTCCAGGAATCGGGCTCTTACCTTCCTGTGGACCCTGGCAAAGCCACCAGATGATGTTAACATGGTCCCCTTGGTATATCCTGGGCACAGCTACTCTGGTTGGTGGCAGGTCTCCTCATCCTTACTCCACAGGAGCAGGGCCGGGGAGGGACCCACGCCTGGCCCAGACAGTCAAGGGGCGCTGGCAGTTGCTGATGCAAAGTCACATTTCCTTGTCCTGAGCTTGGCAGCCAGGCACGGAGAAACGACCAAGCCAAATACCCCTTGGGTCGGGCACTCGGGTGTTTTCCCTACAGTGCTCTGCACTTACAGCCTGTAGGCCTGTTTCTGTCACCAAATCACGGAAGAGAGGACTCAGTCCCTGCCTGTCACTCACAGCTGGACAAGCCACTCGCTGTCCCGTGTCTTGGTGCCCACATCAGGGCCCTGGCACAGAACCTCGAGCTTTAGAAGCGTCTGCGTTCGCTAAAGACACCTGTCTAAGCTTGAGCAGGGCTTGGCACGTGGCAGGCGAGAAGCAGCAATTTTTATCCGGCCCTGTGATGTTCGTGGGGCTCATCCTCTCGGCTCACCTCCCCTCTGAGCCTTGAGCCTCCCGTCAGTCCTGTGCTTGCTGGCCTGGCTGCCTCGCTCCCGCCTGAGGATCGCTTCTCCAGCTCAACTACGGACAACTTGGCAAATGTCTTGTGTGACAGATTGCATTTTCCAGAAGTGGCCCAGCAATTGTTTCCCCTCCCCTTAAACCCGGGCAGGTCTGTGCCGACTCTAACCGACAGAGCACAGAGCTGGAAGGTGCGCGACTCACGAGGCAGGGCGTAAGCAGGTGCAGTGTCTACCTGGCTCTCGCACCCCCGGGTGCCGGCCTGGGAACCCAGGCACCACGTCGTGAGGAAGCCTGGCCCACGGGGAGAGGCCACCTGTAAGCACTGAGGCCAGCAGCCAACGTCCGCTACCAGACGCACAAGTGGATGGACCTTCACGGTCCCCAGCCTTTGCGTGACCCCAGCTGGCGCCAGGTGGAGCGGAGAGGAGCTGCTCCTTCCAAGCCCTGCCCACCTTGCAGATTCACGAGACAAACACACAGATGTTGTGGTTTGGGGGTGAAAAGTTGCACAGTTACAGTGCTGGGAACATTTTGCAAAGCAGGACACAGATTTTATATCAAATTGTAATATATCCGTTTTATTAACGGCACCACAATATTTTCATCAAGCTCTCTCTATACATAGTCTACAGTTTGTGTCGGCCACCCCAGTGCGACTCTGCCCTTACTTCTGGGACAACCCTCTTGCTGGGTGGTGTCCCAGAAGGCCTGGGCCTGGGCAGCAGCCACGGAAAAGCACCCCCTGCTCCCCGCTCCGGGCGGGGTGGGCAGAGACCCTGAGAATCTGCAGTTGCGGGAGCCGCGTGCTGTCGGCTTTGGCTTCAGCCTGGTGTCCCGCCTAGGGGTCTCCCGCGGCGGTGGTCCCCTTGGCCTGGAGGCCCGTCCTCCTAATGACAAGTGTGACAGGCCCATCGGGCAGTCCCTTGATGATGTTCCAGGCTTCAAAGCGGGTGAGGCCCTGCGTGGCAGCGCCAGCCACCTGCAGGATTTCGTCTCCTGGCTGGACCGTCTCGTTCTGTTCCGGGGATGCTCCTGAAATGAGGGAGAGGATGGTGATGGTCTCCACAGTGACGGAGGAACAAGGAAAGGTACTTCCTGTCCTTAGGCTGCAAGGAGCCAGGACGGGCTGAAAGAGAACGGGGTGCTCGCCCCCTTGGCGCTGGCCAGTTGGGGGCTTTAAAACAAGGCAGCTCCTCACATCGTGACTCCGGGCTTGGGGCCCCGGCTCCAACCGGCTGTGGCCCTTGGAGGGTACAGCCCAGGCCGTCCCCAGATGTTGGCCACTCCACGCCACAGCCTGGCTGGAGAGATGGCCACGGTTCCCAGAGGACTCCGAGGAGCTGAGTCCTCCCCAGACCCCTCGTGGACGCTGACCAACATCCCGCCCCTGCACATCTGGTCTTCCCGGCTGGAGGGGCATCGGCACTGGGTGGCGTGGGGAGGGTACCCGTGACATCTGCATGAATATCTTCATGGGGATTTTGGCTTCGAATGGCCCGGAGAAGGCCCCTGTGTTGATGTGAAAAGGGAATAATCCCATCTTTGGAAGGGCTCTCCCCCTTCCAAAGCCGCATGTGCAAACGGTGCTATTTCACTATTTATACTGGAAGAAAATTCTCCATCCATTTGACAGAATCATCTTCACAGATACTGAGTCAGAGTGGAAGATGGTGATGATAATGAAGATATAACTAAAGTGTTTGGGGCAATGATTGCAGCAGCATTGTGCTGATGTTTTGCATTTGTAGCAATGACCCTCTGAGGTTATGTGGTACTATTCACCGTATTCCCTGGGTTGGAACCCAGACTTCCCAGACCCAGCACCCACATCTCTCGGTACCACGTAGAGAGCCTGGCGGCCCACCCACGAAGCAAATGGGCCCAGGAGCGACCTTACCAGAGCCCAAGAGTCTGGGCAAGACCTTGCCCAAGAGTCATGCTGCTCTGAGTGGCAGAACTAACGCTAGAATCAGGTCTCTCAACTTGGAACCCCCTGCTCACTCCAAATCAACCTTCAGAAGTTAGAACTATCATTCCCAGAACTGGAGTTAACCCGGGTTCTGGGGGAACAGCCATAAAGCCTCAGTCTACCCTCTGTGTTCCCGCAGCTGCAGCGGAACTTCCTGGAGCAAAACCCGTCGGCAGTGGGAGCTTGTGTGGGGCGGGGCTCAGGGCTAGGAGGGCCTTTGGGCCTTGGTACTAAGAGCCCTGGACACACACCTGTACCTCGTGCCTCTCAGGCCCGTGAGGGAGTCGTCACTCGGCACGTTAGGGCCAGAGCCGGGACTGGAACCCAGGCTGAGGGACCCCCGTCCAGCACCCTCCACAGCCCCCTGCCCTGAGCCTGGGGGAATTCCAGAATTCCTGGGGGAATTCTGAGGAGCAGCAGAGAGCCGGGGGTGGTTGCACACGGTAGCTACAGCCGCTGGTGATTTTCACAGAAAAACCCAAGTCACCCCATGTCAGACTGGCTTGTACCCATCCCCCGTGAGCAGAACATCAGATTTTACACAATGGCAGGAGCTGATGGGCCCAGGACTAGGGCAAGGCCAGGGGGGCTTAGCCATGCAGCACATAGACCCTGCCTTTGTTCAAACTCTGATATTTTGCTCACCGTGGCCTTTTAAAATTAATTTGGATTTTTTAAGATGCTGCACTGAAATAGTGTTGCTCTGCATTACTGAGCCTCTCGGCACCCCTTAAATTTTGCACCCCAGTCCTGGCCCTGCCAGACTGAACCAAGCCCAGGCTCAGTCGTTCAAGGAGACCCCAGTGGGCCGGGCACGGTGGCTCATGCCTATGATCCCAGCATTGTGGGAGGCCAAGGTAGGAGGATCATTTGAGCTCAAGAGTTCAAGACCAGCTTGAGCAAGAGCTAGACCCTGTCTCTACTGAAAAAATAGAAAGAAATTAGCTGGAAAACAAAAACAAACAAATTATATACACACACATGCATACACACACACACACACACACACACACACACACACACATATATAAATTAGCCGGGCATGGTGGCGCGTGTATGTAGTCCCAGCTACTCGGGAGGCTGAGGCAGGAGGATCGCTTGAGCCCAGGAGTTGGAGGTTGCTGTGAGCCAGGCTGACGCCATGGCACTCACTCTAGCCTGGGCAACACAGTGAGACTCTGTCTCAAAAACAAAAGAGGACCCAGTAGAATAGAGGATTGGGTGGGTGGGGGCGGGGGAAGGATGTCTGAGCAGAGGAGAGAGGTAGGAAGAGCAGAGCTGAACCCGAAAGGCCCAGCATGCTGCTCAAGAGGACACGGGGCTGTGAGAGGCCAACACGGCCCCGACAGCGCTCAGGAGCCACGCGCAGGCCGGGGAGGGCGCAGAGCAGTCGCACACCGTACCTTTGAAGATCCTGTTCACGGTGAGGGGCTTGTCTCCGTGCAGGGAGCCCTTCCCTCCGTCCAGGCTGAAGCCCAGCCCCGCAGAGGTCTTCTCCAGGGTCACCGTGCAGACCGAGGCCTCTGCTGCTGGGAGAACACAGGGGCTCCGTCAGGGACCCTCCCCGTCCCGGCCACAGATGCGGGCCGCAAGCACGCCCGGCTGTGCTCATGCACGTGTGCAGACAGACACGGACGCACGCCTCGGGCCATGTACCGTGTTTCCCCAAAAATAAGCCCTACCCATAAAACAAGCCCCAGCGGGATGTCTAAGCATGTGCACCATAGAAGCCCCACCCCGAAAACCAGCCCTAGTGACGGGCGTGGCTGCGCAGCGCGTCTGCACAACCCGTGCGTGTCGTCGCGGAGCGGGAAAGAGGAAGAGCAGCCCTTCCCATCCGCCCCGTGAGAGCTCTGTGGCTCCACAGGAGAGATCGGGGCCGGTGGTTCTAAAGGAAACAGAGTCGCAAGACATTCAGGGTGGGATTCGGGGTCTGGAGAGTGAGGATGATGTTCCAGAAGAAGACGACTTCACTATATTTGAATAAATGTAGATGGCTGTGCCATACTTTAAAAAGAAAATAACATATGCACTGAAAATAAGCCCGAGGGCGTCTTCTTGAGGAAAAATAAGTAGAAGACCCTGTCTTATTTTTGGGGAAACACGGTACTCGGCAGGCCACACGACTGAGCAGCCCACCAGGCTGGCCCCGTGTGGCCCACGGGGCTTCCGCGGAGCTGGGAGAACTTACTGGAGTCCACGGACCCGCCGCTGGCCGCCGAGGCCGCGGGGTCGCTGGAGGAGCTGGGGTCCGGCGTGGCCTCCGGCGCCAGCCTCCTGGTGACGATCACTGCCTGCCTGGGGTCTCGGGCCTGGCGCAGGATGGCCAGGGCGTCGTTGTGCGTGGTCCCCTTGAGGGACTTGCCGTTGATGGACAGCACCTCGTTGCCCTTCTGGATGGTCCCCTCCTGCGAGGCCAGGCCGTTCGGAAACACCCTGTGGACCTGAGCGGAGCAGAGGGATCGGCACGCGGAAATCGCCCCCGTCGCGTCCGCACTCTCGCCGCGGGAGGGCCCGGACCCGCCAACCCTGGGTGTTTCCCCGCCAAAGACACTGCGTCCTAGATCGGAGCTGCTGCGGGGCTGGACTCCCTTCCCCTCTTCCTGACGCGGGGACCACCGGCAGTAATGGCGGGGCAAGGCCGGCACCCTCCCACCCGACGCCCAGGCTGAGTCCCACCGTCCCCTGCGGCAGTTTTCCTGAAGCCCCGGCTGGTTCCGCGGCCTATCAGTGGGTGTCCAGTAAGCAAAGGCTTCCAAGATCAAAGAAACGTGGGCAACACCGCATCACACAAACACTCTGGAAATGTCCACTTTGTAAAAAAAAAAAAAAAAAAAAAGGCATCGGAGGCTCTGCACGGCGAATCTGCACGGCAGGGCTCTGAGAGCAGGAGCATTCACACATGACTCCCCAGGAGTCTCCGCACAGAGGATCCTCTTCTCACAGAGAAGTCCTCGGGTCCCGTTCTCTGCAGAGCGTATTTTGAGAAAGGCTATCCTAGGCAGTCTAGAATTTTTTTTTATCATTTTTTAAAAATTTTTATTTTATTTAGAGACAGTGTCCCACTCTGTCTCCCAGGCTGGGCTGCAGTGGCTTGATCCTAGCTCACCGCAGCCTCGAACTCCTGGCTCAAGCCATCCTCCTGCCTCAGCCTCCCAGGAAGCTGGGACTACAGGTGCACACCACCACGCCTGCCCAATTTTTAAAATATTTCATAGAGACGGGGTTTCGCTATGTTGCCCAGGCTGGTCTTGAACTCCTGGGCTCAAGCGATCCTCCCACCTGGGCCTCCTGAGTAGCTGGGACTACAGGTGTGAGCCACTGTGCCCAGCCACAGTCTAAACATTTCTAAAGCTCCTCCCTGGTCCCTGTTCTGCAAGGTATGTGGGACAAAAACAAACAAAAGCTCTCATGTCTTTGCATCAGCCTCTTTAATGGGGTAAACTGTAATGAAGAGGATTGAATGAAAGCATGCATGGGCAACCTCTAAAATGCGCTACGTGTCGTTTTGCTTTTACGACGCGAACAAGGCTCTTTGTTTCTCTGAATTGTCTTGGCGTTAGGAAAACTCAGTGTGGTCACAGGTGGTTAGAATGCCCAGGCCGCGAGACCCAAGCATGAAGCAGAACCTCCTCTCTGAACCCCAGGGCCCTCCTCTGCGAAACAAGCGTAAATGCTACCAATTTTTCAACCCAAGTGTGGGGAAGTGAATTTCGAGAGTGCCCAGCCTGCCCCGTGGCCACGGGCGGGGCCCTGAGCTAGTTCCTTTTTCACGAACCTGGAACGGGCGAGAGCCGCTCAAACACAGGAGAAGGAAGAGGAAGTTTCTGTGCGAGGGCCGAGCCCACCCGTCCGGCTTCGTGCTGGCCGCTGGGCGGGGACGGGGTCTGGGGGTGGCCGGCCAGGTGCGCTGGCGGGAACCCGCTGCTCAGGGCAGAGAGAGATCCCGGTGCCATTCCCACAGGCAAGCTCCTTTCTCCCGCTCAGGCAGGAAGTAAACCACCTCCGTCAGGGACATTTGTTAACGCTCAGCTATGTGTTCAGTGACAGAAACGCTTCCCTGGTTTTAGGTGCTCCTGCTGCGGTAGAGAACTTACAAAGGAACTAGAGAAGTCACTGCTGACACATGAGTGACTCTTTAAGTGACCGGTGGGGACTGTGCCAAGTGACCGCTGCAGGGGGTGTGGTGTGTTTAGTGGCTGGCACTTGAAACTGGAGGATTTGTTTTCAGCGGGGCAGGGAAATTGAAGTGAGCCCAGCCCAGTGCACACAAGGGACGCACTGACACGGTGACAACAATGCACTGAGCCTGGGGAGGACAGCCCAGCCGTGCCACGCAGCTCCCCCTAGCCGGGAGGACCAGGAACTGTCTGGGTCGGGGACAGGTGACCTGGGGGCAGCACCTAGCGCTGATCGGACCGGCTGAGCTGGAATAAGGGGCCCACAGGAAAAGGTGCCCCCGACTCAGATCTGTAGCCCCCCCACCCTGCCGGCCCTGCCTTGGGCACCCCGAGTAGACACCGGCTGGGCCGTGGGCGCGGTGGACTCCGGGTGCACAGTGTGGCCGGTGGTCTGGGAACAGGCTCAGTGGCTGTTTCCTTGGGTCAGCTCCACGGCTGTCCACGGGGACAGTCCCCCAGCGCAAGGGAGCAGGACCAGGAAAGCGCCCCCTTGCCAGGGCCCTGCCTGCCCAAGCTCCCCTCTGTCACCCGTCCGACACTGCCCCGCCAGGAGTCAGTTCTGCAGGTGCAGCCGTGCAAAGCTGTCCCTGCGCTTGCAAATCACTCCTGTCTGCATCTCAGTGACCGACAGACCACTGGTCTGTATCTCCAAAGGAGGAAGCATGATATGGAATAAGATTTGGTTTGTATTTTTAAAATATCCTCCAGCACCTTAAAAAAATGCAAGCATTAGGGGCTTCAACCTCAAAAAAAGAAAAAATTCGGATTCCAAAGTTCTGGTGTGAAGCTGAGGTAGCTCTAATTTTTTTTTAAAGCTCCATGAATGTCCACTATAGATGCAAGAAAAATGTCCTCGCGCTTTCTGTCTGCCTGATTGTGGCAGCCAAGATTGAATAGAGGAATACAGAGAAAAAAAAAAAAAAAAAAAAAAAAAAGCTCCATGAATGATTCCGGTTTCTTTCAACATATTAACGTTGTTTTAGGCATGCAGAGATCTTCTTCATTACCACGTGGACGGCCACACTAGGAAAAAAAGATTTTTTCCCCCAGGGCCACGGTGTTTTACTGAAATAAAACGATCCTTTCTCATGTGCTAGTTTCACTGTTTTCTGTGCGTGAGCTACAGGCGACGCAACCCACGATTTTGGACTTAAACTGTCGGTATCAATGGCGGCAATAAGAACGTCAACAAGGAAGATTTTCACGAACCAACTGCAGGGTTCTGCTGCACGAGGCCCCGGGGGCAAAACCGGCCTGAGTTAAATACAACTCACGCAGCAGTCAGTGTGTTGAGTTGGGGACCCTGGTGAGCTGCCTGTGGGGTCACGTGGGTGACCGCCCTTTGCTCCGTGGAAAGGACGGGCCTGGTGGCCGTCCTTTGAGATCCCGTCCCACCCGCCCGCCCAGCGCCGGGCCCCTTCCCAGCGGGCGTGTCCCCCGGTCCCATCGCCGTTGGCTCGGACGTGCCTGCTCGCTCGGCCACTCACCGTGATCACCTTGCTTTCTAGATCCGCGCCTCCTGCCAGGCTGAACCCCAGGCCGGCACCCTCCTCCTTGTGCAAGACGGTCACGTGGATGCTGTCCAGTTGCTGCGGAGGAAAACACAGCATCAAAGCACTTTGCCAGGCCGGGCGCCGTGGCTCACGCCTGTCATCCCAGCACTCTGGGAGGCCGAGGTGAGCGGATCGCTCGAGGCCAGGAGTTCGAAACCAGCCAGAGCAAAGGCAAGATCCCATCGCTACTAAAAATAGAAATTAATTGGCCAACTAATATATATAGAAAAAATTAGCCGGGCACGTGGTGGCCATGCCTGTAGTCCCAGCTACTGGGAGGCTGAGGCAGGAGGATCGCTTGAGCCAGGAGTCTGAGGTTGCTGTGAGCTAGGCTGACACCATGGCACTCACTCTAGCCTGGGCGACAGAGTGAGACTCTGTCTCAAAAAAAAGAAAAAAAAAGGAGGGGAAGAAAGCACTTTGCTCACACCCCTCCGGCTGCACGCAGACAGTACACAGCACGTGGGAAGTGAGACTTTCGGAATGACTGGGCTGCAGCGCGGGGCCCCTGTGGGCCCTGGGATCATCACCTCCAGGTGAGCAGGGGAAGTAACGAAAGCCCCAGGGCGAGAGCTCTCGTGCTGGCATCACGCTCCCACGCCGAGCCCAGCGGGGACTCACGCCAGGCCGGCGGCCCCAGGATGTGGAAACGGCACCAAACTTAAACTTGGAGACGGAAAACCTAGGCTCTGCCTCCTTGGGCCTCACCTGTCTTATTTACAAGGGGTTAGAAAGATGCAGGAAGTCAGTGCACTGAGAATGCTTTACATGCTAAAAAGACCTTTAAGAAAGGTCTTCCTGGCCTGGCGCGGTGGCTCACGCCTGTCATCCCAGCACTCTGGGGGGCGCAGAGGCAGGCGGATCGCTCGAGGTCAGGAGTTCGAAACCAGCCTGAGCAAGAGCGAGACCCCGTCTCTACTATAAATAGAAAGAAATTAATTGGCCAACTAATATATATAGAAAAAACTAGCCGGGCATGGTGGCGCATGCCTGTAGTCCCAGCTACTCGGGAGGCTGAGGCAGGAGGATTGCTTAAGCCCAAGAGTTTGAGGTTGCTGTGAGCCAGGCTGATGCCACGGCACTCTAGCCCGGGCAACACAGTGACACTGTCTCAAAAAAAAGTAAGGTCTCACTGTGGCCAAGTGACGACATGTCCACCACCACCGCGGGAGGGACATGACTGGGTCTGGCGGCAGCTGCTCCACCTGCTCCCCTGGGCCCGGCCCCGGCGGCCACCGTCACAGCGAGCCTCAGGGGCCGTAAGCGCTCACGGAGGAACCTACCTGTAACGTCGCCTCGTCCAGAACCTTCACTTCCTCGATGAGTTTTCTCAGCTCCTCGGAGCTCAGCAGGGAGATGACCGACTGGCCGTGCTGCACAGGGCTGTGGTCCCCGCCGCCGGCCTCCCTGGGCTCCGCGAGGCCCTCCGTGAACTCCCTCAGCTCAGAGAGGCTGTGCGGGGAGAAGCCACGCGCAGCGTGAACGGCAGCGTCGGCAAAGACTGCGCTCCGGCCAGGGCGCTGAGCACCGCGTGTGTTCTTTACCTGGCGCGCCACACCCGCGAGGGGCGCTGGTGGCCCGGCTGTGGCAGCAGGACGGTGAGGAAACTCATCCACCCAGAGCTGCTCCCATCAAAGAGGGACACCCAAGCCCGCCCTCCAGCATTGGCCGGGGCAGCTCTGCCAGCCCAGCTAGCGAGGCGGGTCTCAGCCACCCCCTGACGTCAGCCGGGAGGACGCCGAGAGCCGGAAGGAGCCTGTGGGAGTCAGCGTCCATGCCGGAGCCGGGACCAGGACGCGGCATCACGACTCCCGCCCGGGAGCCGAGCCCACATGCAGGGTGCAAGGGAATCCCTTTGGGGGGCAGTGAGAACTCCCAGGGCAACATCTCCTGGTCTCTGTGGCCTTTCTGAGTAACAGGGAGACATCGCAGATGTGTGCCGGCCGCCCACCTTCCAAATTCCCAGGTGCCTTCCAAATTCCCGGGTGCCTTCCAAATTCCTGGGTGCCTTCCAAATTCCCAGGTACCTCCCCACGGAGCCAGTCTGGGCAACACAGTGGCAACACAGCCCACTGCCCACCCCTCTTGCGACCAGATATTGTGAAAACTCCTCCTAAATATAGAAGGCAGAGAGGCCAGGCGGAAAGATCCCTTAAGGCCAGGAGTTCAAGACTAGCCTGGACAACATAGCAAGACTCTGTCTCTGCAGAAAGTTTTAAAAAGCAGCTGGGTATGGCGGCACCACCCCCTGTAGTCCCAGCTACTCAGGAGGCTGAGGCAGGAGGATCGCTTGAGCCCAGGAGTTTGAGGCTACAGTGAGCTGTGGTCATGCCACACTGCACTCCAGGCTGGGTGACAGAGTGAGACCCCACCTCTTAAAAGAAATGGACGCAGGCCGGGTGCGGTGGCTCACGCCTGTCATCCTAGCACACTGGGAGGCCGAGGCGGTCAGGCGCTCGAGGTCAGGAGTTCGAAACCAGCCTGAGCAAGAGAGAGACCCCGTCTCTGCTATAAATATAAAGAAATTAATTGGCCAACTAAAAATATATAGAAAAAATTAGCTGGGCATGGTGGCGCATGCCTGTAGTCCCAGCTACTCGGGAGGCTGAGGCAGGAGGATCGCTTGAGCCCAGGAGTCTGAGGTTGCTGTGAGCTAGGCTGGCACCTCGGCACGCACTCTAGCCTGGGCAACAAAGCGACACTCTCTCTCAAAAAAAAAAAGAAAACGCGCAGACGGCCGAGGCGTGACGCCTACAGACACACACGCAGGCGCCACACTGGGAGTCAGGTGCACACAGGTAAGCGAGGAGGAACAGCCTCTAACCAGCGGGCCTGAGACGCTGCAGGTGACGCACGGAACCGTACGTGTAGCAAGGCAGGAGCACGGACGCGCCAGGCAGGACACTCACTTGAGCGAGAAGCCCGTGTCCGAGGCCGGCGCCTCTGCGGAACAGCTCGCCGCGGGGTCTCCGTGGGCCGGCGGCCGCGGCGGCAGGGACGCCCCCTCCTTGGCGCCGCAGGGCGTGTGGCCGCCGGAGAGGGCGGCGGGCAGGCACAGCAGGGATCTCATGACGGCGGAGGACACCTGGCTGCTGATGGAGTAGAGCTTGCTGGTCTTCTCGTCCGGCGGCCGCGCCTCGCAGGAGTGGGACCGGGTCAGCGGGAAGCTCCGGGCGCGCTGGCTGGGCGCCTTCGGGACCCGCGGGGCTCCCGCGTCCTCCAGCTGGGCCGACAGCAGCCTCGAGAGAGGGTCCGGGTCCGGGTCCGAGGGGGGCGCTTTCCGGCTGGGGCGCTGGCCCGGGGGAGGGGACTCGGGCACACGGGGGTCTGCGGCCTCCCCGGCTTCGGGGCACCCCCGGGGCAGGGGCTCTGGCTGGGGCTGCTGGTGCTCAGGGGTGGGGGCAGCCGCCCGCCCCGGCAGGCCAGGAACCCGCCCTCCCTCCTGCCTGCCGGGGCCCTTGGCCGCTGCCTCCCCGGGGCAGGGCTGGGGGCCGCGTCTCTGGGCCCCCCCAGCGGGCGGCTGGGAGCAGCCGGGGGTCTCGAAGGAGCTGATTCTCTGCTTGATGGAGGAGCCCACCGGCAAGCCGCGCAGCCCTGGCGGGTCCCTGGGGGCAGGTGTGGGCGGCTGGCTGGACGGGGCCACCCCGGGCAGCCTTCTGGGGTCCGGGGCGCGACTCCTCAGACCCTTCAGGCTTTGGCGGAACCAGGCTGGCTTGGGGGCCACGGGGGGCCCCTTCTTCCCGGCGCCGCCGTCCACCGGCCTGTAGGCTCTGGGAGGGCTGTCGGCCGCGTCCAGCCTTGGTGGGGTCCCGTCCGGGTGGCCGCGGGCCCCGTCTGCCCCGCCCAGGCCGAGGCCCGGCTGCAGCGGCAGGTGGCCGGGGCTCCCGCTCATCACAGGGCTGAACAGGCTTTTGATGCAGTCGGAAATCCGGATCCAGGGGTCTTCCGCGGCGCCGTCGAAGCTGCAGTCCATGCGCGCCTGCCGCCTGAGCAGGGGGTGCCTCGCCGGGGACGCCTGGGGCCCTGGAGAGCGGAAACAGGGCCAGCGCCGCGTGTCACGCCTTGCCTCGGCTTCCCGTCCTCAGGTCTGGGGTCAGAGCCCAGCAGCAAGAAGGCTCCAGAAGAGGAGAGTAGCCGGAGTGGGAGCCGCCCAGAGGGGTGACCGAGCGCCCGGTGCTATGCTTGACCGAGGGAGGTGCCAACAGGCAGGGCGGAAGAGCCAGAAGTGGGGGTCAGTGTCATGGCACCCCGAGTCTTAGTGCTGGAGGGAGGGGTTGTCAGAGCATCTTGCCCACTCCCTGGCCTCTTACAGTTCAACAAGGGTGAGACCCTGCTCCCCCCGCCCACCCCCAGGTCTGTGGCAATTTCCCTGCACCTCGGATCCCCCCGGATAACTCATTAAACACCTGACAGTCAAAGCAATTCTCTCATGTCCTAGACTTCTGAGACAAAAGTCAGGACTGGCAGTCGTGTTTGGCTGGGCCCAGCCATGCCACCGAAAACCAAGGTGAGCGCCCACCGCCGGGGTGGCCCCGGCTCCCCCGCCCCTCACGCTCCCCCTCGCTCCCCCGCACGGCCGACTTTCACTTTCACTCGTCTGCCTGGCCCCGGAAGTCAGTCACGGGCGCTTGCTCCCCTCGGGGTCCCCAGGCCGCAGCTCAGCGAAGGGTGTTTCCCTCCCGAAAGGGCTGGGAACAGGCTCCAGGTGCAAGGGCAGGAGCGACTGTCCCTATGACTCTTCCCCAGGGACAGGGAGAGGCCGGCCCGTGTGCTCTGGGGCCTGCTGGCCACAGGAATGCCACCCGGTACACGCACACGGGTCCCTCCTGCCCGCCTGCGAATGTCGGCACCGTGCAGAGCCTCAGGCCGTTATGACATCAAAGAGAAGCCCCCGACCCCCAGCCCCAGCCCCTGACCGTCCAGTCACGGCGGCCACTGCTGCCTGCAGGACGATGACAAGTGTGCGCCGCCCTTCTCAGCCTCTCTCCGCGTCTGTGACCGGCCCGGCCTCGAGAAGCAGCAGGCAGAGGTCGCCCAGGCAAGCCCTCTGCAGACTGGGGGAGGGGCTCCCGCCAGGGAAGCATTGTGGCATTGCCACTGCCGGTGTGTTCCGCAAGTGAGTTGCCCAAGGGACCGGTGCGTGCAATGGGGGAGCCTCCCCCACCCCCGGGCAGGGCTCCTGCTCTGGGAGGGACGCGCTAGATCTGCCTGCTTCTCAAACACGCACACGGGCCACAGCCGACCTGCTTACTGCTCTGCCACTGTCAGGGGCTCCTTGGGGGCTGCACTGGGCCACCTACCTCCTCCCCTTCTCTCTCTCCCAGCACCTCTCGCCCCCGGCCTCCGGAAGCCGGCGTTCAGTGCACGCATGCTGGCGAGCCAGAACACGGGGCTCTGCCCGACCCTCCGCACCTTGCTGATGGGTGAGTGGCTCAAGCCTCAGAAAAGCAAAGTCAGTGCCCAGAGTCGTGGTTAGTGACGGGCAGCCCCCCGATCTCCTGACTCCAAATCTTACGCTCTTTCTAGCAAGCCACCAGATATTCCGGTCCTGTCTTCGCGCTGCCGGATATGCCATGGGGACACACCCTTGCTGTCCACCGCGTGGAGGGGGTGACCCCCAACAAAAGGCTATTCAAGTTTTCTGACCCCGTGTTCTCAGCCTGGAAATGCTGAACACGGCACGCTAGAGACTGGCACCGTAGGGGCAGCTGCCGGGACGGTCGGGCAGGGTGCGTCTCGGGACCTTCCCTGGGCCCCTCTCCAGCCGGCCGTCGGGACTGGCCACCACTGCAGCGCCGCGGTCCAGCCGGGGGGCTCCCACCTGGACGGCACCTGCACCGCCCTGTGTCCCCCCACCCGGCACTCCCAGCAGCTGTGTCAGCGCCCAGCCCACGGCCGGCCCACGCTCTCACCTCCTCCCTGGCCCTTCTCCGGGAGTCCCTTCCTCCCGCAAGACCCCGACTGCCGCTCACCTGGGCTGGCTCGCCTGCGCCCTGGCTCGCCCTCTGTGGAGGACACTGTCTGGGGGCCGGCGGGGCGCGGGCAGCCTGCAGTGGCGTGGGGGGCTGTCCCCGTGGCGTCTTCCTGCGGCAGTGGCTGCAGCTCTCCGGCTTCCTGTGGTGTAAACAGGAAGCGAGACCGTGTCAAAACGGTCGCCTCAGGCTGCAAGAAGGCGAGGCAGCGTCGGCGGGGACCGGAGGGCGGATGTCGAGCTGCCGCGTTGGATGTGAGGCTCGTCAGCGGCCTGGTGACAAGGGTCCTCCCCTCCACAGCGGGGCAGGACACTCAGAGCCCCGCCCGACCCCCAGCAGCCCTTGCCCAGAGCCCGCCCACGCTGCAGACACGCGTGGAGGTCCTGCTCCCATGAGGGGGCGCAAGAGGCTGGGATGTGGAAGGGGCCGGCGCTGCCTCAGTTTACCTGCATCCCGGGGGCTACCTGCCCAGGTACGCGGCGGCATAGAAACAAGGTGACAAAGACGCTGCCATCCAGCGTTCCCTACACTAAAGCAAAACCGAGGACAATGCTTGCCAGTCACCGTCAGGTGCAATTTGTAAGCGCGTGGCCCTGCATGACAGGCACGCAACACCCGTGCCTCCCACCCTCCGTGGCACCCTCAGTGACGTCATCCACCTGCCGCAGAACTGACCTTCCCGCTGGGCCTGCACTTGGTCTGGGGGACCCTCCCACACCGGCCCAGGGAAGCCCAGGCGCCAGGCCGCCGTGCAGCGCGCCAATCCAGCCGGGATCCTCGCGAGTTCCGATCACGGCGCGCTCGGGGCCCGCAGGACGCAGAGGGACCCGCCCGTCCCGGGGTGGAGAAGCCTCGCTAGAGAAGTGCTGGTGTCTGGCTCTCACACAGAGTGAGCGTTGCCCAGGCAGAGGACGAGCGCTCCAGAGACACACACCTCCCGGGCATAAGGCCCAACCGGAGAGAAAAGGACGAGAGGTCGAGTCGTCAAGGCGACGCCTCCCGCGCTCGATTGTCTGCAAGAGGACACCTGGCCGCGCTGTGGTGGCCCCCGCGTCCTGTCCGTCCCAGCATCACCTGATGACAGGCCATTGCCACGGCTGCAGGCCTCCTCCCAGGGAGGGAGGGAGGGAGGGAGGGAGGCATCATTCAGGACCAAATAAGAAATGGCCAGGCCGGGCGCGGTGGCTCACGCCTGTGATCCCAGCACTCTGGGAGGCCGAGGCGGGCGGACTGCTCGAGGTCAGGAGTTCGAAACCAGCCTGAGCAAGAGCGAGACCCCGTCTCTACTATACATAGAAATTAATTGGCCAACTAACATATAGAGGAAAAACTTAGCCGGGCGTGGTGGCGCATGCCTGTAGTCCCAGCTACTGGGGAGGCTGAGGCAGGAGGATCGCTTGAGCCCAGGAGTTTGAGGTTGCTGTGAGCCAGGCTGACGCCACAGCACTCACTCTAGCCTGGGCAACAGAGTGAGACTCTGTTTCAAAACAAAAACAAACAAACAAAAAGACAGCATGCTGGAAGTCATTTGGGTCGCAAAAGTCTCCCAAGTTAGGGTAGATGGGGGAGATGTGGGGATCTCGAGTAACAGCTTGGGAAGGGACCCCGGGGAGAAATGGGGGAGACAGTGCACCCCGGGACCAGGGAGGAGAACACTCAGTGCAACCAACGTCCCCAGGGAGGGCCGGGAAGGGCTAGGAGGAGTGACACCTAGCCAGCCGCTCCCTGTCCCCTCGTCCTGTCGTCCTTTCCCTGCGTCCCCGGTGCCCAGCGCCCTGTGCTGTGCCGGCTGTGCCTTGTGGAAAGGTGGCGGGAGGAGGGGCAAAGCCCAGGGGACAGAGCAGAGCAGCTGCGGAATGCCACCGTCCCCATGGCATGGCCACTGGGGGAGGCGGCAGGAGGGCTGCTCCTGAGACAGCGCCCTGCCCTGGGGACAGCCCTGGCCTGGCCTCCCCGAGCAGCCCCTGGTGCCCCTTCAGCTGTCTGATGGGCATCTGGGCTCCTGGGCCCAAAGGCAAATGAAACATTTGCTCAAAGGAGGAATGGGGGGAACAGAGCCGCCCGGACAGCCCCGTCCTGCCAGCTCCCTGCAGTGACACTTCCTTTTTCGCAACCTGGCTTCCTCCCACTCACTTTCACCTCCTACTCGGCACCTGCCTGCCTGGCCGCTCGGGTCCCTCACCCTGCCCACCTCAGTGGGCCTGGTTACAGGCGGCTTGAGGGATTTCCAGAGGCCCCTGCCCTGCCTGGGGCAGGTGGTGGAGCAGTGGGAACCGGTGACCCTCCAGCCCCGTGACCCGGGCAGGTGTCTCAGCTCCCTCCTGGCGTAACTAGGCCCCTCTCCATCAGCCATCGAAAGGAGGCAGAGAGGGGAGGTGCACAGAAGCACCTAGCACAGCACCCGGGCTGGAAGGGCTCCACGGGGCTGCCTGGCCCCCTGCGATGGTTGGGGGTGTCTGGGGGCGACGGAGGAAGCAGCCACGGCGACAGCGAGGAGGGCTGGGGTGCCGCCGCGGTCCGGGAGGGGCCACGTGTAGCCGTGGGCAGGTCAGGTTTAGGGAAGCAGGAGGCAGGGCTGACGGGGAGACACGGCGGCCATTGCTCAGGGTTGCGTCACCGCACCCACTGAAGGGGCAGGGTGACCGGCCCGCGCCCCCTTTCAGCTACTCAGACAAGTGTCCTCCGCACAAGCAGAGCAGCGCCCGAGGGCCCTGCGTAGAGACCCCGTCCCCCACCAACGCTGGCGTTTTTCCCAGCAGGGCAAGCGGGAAAACCGACCGCAGGGAGCCTGGATCCCAGCGTGTCAGGGGTGGGAACCCGGAGGCCGGCGGGCAGGCCGGGTTTGCCAACCTTCCAGGCTGCCTCCCTGCAGTCCTCAACTGAGTCCTAGGTGCCAGCTTCCCCGAGGTGGGGCAGGAGAAACCCTGGCTCCGCCGCCGCCCGCTCTGCAGCGATGCCCGGGGACAGTGGCGGGTGGCGCAGGAAATGCCACCGGCGAGGACGCCCCGCTTACCTGGCCACAGGTGGGCAGGGTGTGCCCGGAAGGACACAGGGAGCTCTCTCTCTCTTCCAGACTCTTCTGAGGGTCGCTGTCGCTCTTAAAGTACTTTCTGGGCGGAGGCTTGGGCTTGGAGGACGTGGGCTTTCTCACCAAAATCTCGAAGGATTTCTTCAGCCGCAGCGGCGGGTGGCCGGCCCGGCTCTCGGGCAGCGGGGGGCTCTCCTGGGGCGGCCCGGAGGACCCCGCGGGAAGCAGGCCCGGCTCCCGTCCCAGGGGCGGGCTGGGGCCCTGAGTGCTGGCCACCGGGTCTGGGGGCCGCGGCTCGGCGCCGGCGCCACTGCTGGGACTGCCACCAGGGGACCCGGACACGTAGCTGCTGTCGCTGCTGGAGCGGACCATGACCTTCTGGGCTCGGCGGTGGGGGGGCGCCGAGCTCTTCTCCCGCTCCCTCTCCAGCGTGGGCCGCCCGTGCCAGCTGCTCTCCAGCCTCTTGGCGCCTGTGCGGGAAGCTTGCGTGAACCTGCGGTGCCCGGCGTGGAGGACAAGCACCCCTGTGGCCTCGCCAGGGCTGTCCGCAGGTGGCACGGGGCACACCGCTGTCCGCTTCCTGGCTGGGCTGCTCTGGGCCTGGGCGTGGCCGTCCTGACCTTGGGCTGGGAGAACCGTTCAGGCTTTCTGAGCCTGCAGATACGGAGACACGCCACCCAGACTGCCCACCGAGGAAGAGCGCGGTGTCCTGGCTGTGGGGAGCGCGGGGGCAGCTGCTGGCAGCTGTTGGTGCTTCCCAGGATGCCGCTGCCCAGGGCCACCCGTCCCCAGGACTGAAGGAGACGGCCAGAGTCCCAGCCATTCCTGCCAACTCCAGCAACTCATTCCGGCCATTCCGGCCACGTTGGCTGTGGGGCTCCAGGGGTGGCCGAAGGGAGCTCTGGGTGCGCATCCCAGCTCCTCCTCCCCCTGCCCCGCCTACTGCCATCCCTCCCTCCTGCAGGTGTTGACTCCTGTGACACTTCTTTTCTTTTGAGACAGAGTCTCACTCTGTTGCCCGGGCTAGAGTGAGTGCCGTGGAGTCAGCCTAGCTCACAGCAACCTCAACCTCCTGGGCTCAAGCGATCCTCCTGCCTCAGCCTCCCGAGTAGCTGGGACTACAGGCATGCACCACCATGCCCGGCTGATTTTTTCTATATATTTTTAGTTGGCCAATTAATTTCTTTCTATTTTTAGTAGAGACGGGGTCTCACTCTTGCTCAGGCTGGTCTCGAACTCCTGACCTCGAGCGATCCTCCCGCCTCGGCCTCCCAGAGTGCTAGGATTACAGGCGCGAGCCACCGCGCCCAGCCGACACTTCTTAATAAACACAGCTCATGCCAAATGGGGACCCTACCACCCACGACACTCCCCGTGTGCGTCTGTGAAACAGGGTTGATGATTCCGGGGTGCTGGGCTGGTTTTGAGGCTCCACACAACAAAGAGAGAGACGGCCTGGGAGGGCACTTGAACCTTATACCAGAAGGGGTTTCCAGCTGAGGATGAGGCAGGTTGGAAACCAGTTTGTTAGCCAGACCCCCTCTGTCTCTGTCCCTCCCCTCCAGCCCTTCTGGGCTCCCCGCCGGAGCTCTGGGCCCCCCACACACTCTTCTCCGCTGGCGAGCTGCCAGAGACGCCCCTTTCCTAAAACCACAGCTCCAGGGGGTGGGAGCGGAGTGAGGCCGAGTCTCTTGCTCAAATTCCAGCTTGTTCTTGAGAGCCCGGGATGCCCGGGGTCCCCTGACAGGCACCTGTACCCCAGGGAAGGACCCTGGCCACCCGGGCTCCCCATTCCCACTCTCTTTCAGGAAAACAAGTTTTCTTTCGCTTTTTCCTGGTCACAAAGTAACGCGTCCTCCTTGGAGAAAACTCAGCCACAGGAGGGAAGGAGTGAGCGTGAAAATCCACCTGTGGTCCCGTCAGCTGGAGACGGCAGCCGTCAGATCGTGGTGTTTCCCTGTCACGCTTCCCCACGCGTGTGTGTATGATGCGTGGGGAGAAACAGCCGACCGTGGCTGAATAAATTTCTATGTTCCATTCTATTTCCCCCGGACGCTTTCCAGGTCGTTAAAGCTCCTTGCCAGCGTCAGTGCTAACGGTGGCACATTGTTCTGTCACGTGCATGTTCCAATGACTTGGCCGTGCCCAGAGGCTGGGGACTGACATTATACTTTCCTGGTTTAAGAATTAAAGTTAGTGAGTAATGTATGTGCTCTGCCCAGAGCATTTGAGAGTAACGTGTTCCGGACAGGCTCCCTGTGACAAACAAGGTTGCTGCCTGGAGGCGTAACAAAGGACCTGAGTTCCTGCAAGTAATCAAGAGCTGCCCCGCCCCACGGCAGTGGGGGTCTGGAGACCACATGATAAACACATTGTTCCTGTGATTGCTGCTTAGCCCTATAAGATGGCTGGTTAGTCAATGATGGGTAAGATTCCTCAGGGAGGAACAACCTAGACAGGCACAGCCGCTGGGGGTCAGCCTAGAGGAACTGGGGACAGAAAGTGGCCCCCGTGGCTGCCTTGCTTAAGCTTGCTAATGTTGGTCTGTGATCTATGCCTGGCACCTTGAGCAACTGCCTGGAAACCTTAAGTCAGGGGACATCTGTGTCCTTAGGCTACATGTTCTGGAATTTATGGCCATTGCTGTAATGCCTGGGTGGTCACGTATAAGGAACTAACTTTGATTCTTTTGGAGTATAAAAATAAACTGAGCAGTGCATTGGGCACTCAAGTCTTGTACCGTTTTTGTGTGTGTCTGTGTCTTTCCTTTTGTGTCTCTTTGTGTTCTCTCTTCATCCCTCATCCTGCAAACAGGCCATGGCACCTAGGGGCTGGCCTGAGAGTCTAGCAGGGGGTTTCCATCCCAGATGCTGTGTGTGCTAGTGGAGTGGCTCCGAGCAGGAGAGCCTCTGGGGCCTCACCTTTTCCTATAAAAGGTGCATCAAAATTAGACGTGACGCAATGCACGAGCCAGCGCAGCATCTGACATGATACGAACTCAATACACGTTAGAGGTCATGTGCCCAGACCAGGGGCTGCAAGCTCAGATGCCCGCATAGGCAACCTGTGGATGGCACCTGGCGTAGGTAAAGGCAGAGGCAGGCACCACAGGGAGAGCGCCCTCCATGCTAACAACTCAAATCCAGATGCTTTTAAAAACCTTTACATAGAAAAAACTAGCCAGGCACGGTGGCGCATGTCTGTAGTCCCAGCTACTCGGGAGGCTGAGGCAGGAGGATCCCTTGATCCCAGGAGTTGGAGGTTGCTGTGAGCTAGGCTGACGCCACGGCACTCACTCTAGCCTGGGCAACAGAGTGAGACTCTGTCTCAAAAACAAACAAAAAAACCCCAAACCTTGTGTCTTCCAAACAAAGCAAAAATGTGAGCCAAATTAGCTGGTGGGCTGCTGGCTTTCTACCTTCGTCTATGCAGCCGTGAGCCTGTGATGACTGTCCTACTATCCCTCGGGTAGAAGGTGAGTGGATGGCTAAACCCTACGCTTTCTGGGAAGGCGAAGATACGTCAAGTCCAAGTTCACCGTTTTTCTTACCTTCCAGACTCCATTGGTGCCTCTCCTTTCCGAACTTGGTGTTCTCCACAGCCTGGGCCACGGCTTCCTTGAGTTGCTGTTCAGAGACCTGGAAAACGCCAGGCACCTCCTCGAACAAACAGCGGACGCTCGTGCACCTTGCTCCTGCGCCTGTTCCAGCCCCCGGGCCAGGCCCCGGGATTCTAGTTTCTTTCTTCCCAAACCACACTAAAAACAGCTGGAAAATTCTACCTCCAGGAACACCCTGGAGACCAATGGCTCCCCCGTGTCTTCTCGATAAGGTCCAAAAAAGTCTGTCAATAAAGGGCTTCCCAAGGCGGCACCTCTCGGCTCCCAAACCCTCTGCCCACCACTTGCTGCAAAACTCCAGGCAGAGTTACCACTCCGTAGTTGGCCTGTGCGCACTATTCTATTCTCAGATGTGCCGCCACGGCGACGGCATCATCAACCGCAATGCCGCGACCGTCACCATAACCCTTACACTCTCTGTGTCCTGCCTCACGGGCCGTTGTCACTTTAGAGGAGTGTGGGTCAACCAGACTCGAATTCTGCCTATCTGGGGAGGCCTGGGCAAGTCGCTCAACCTTCTGAGCCTCAGTTTCTCCTTTCATAAAATAACAACGACAAATCCCACTTCGCAGTGAGGGCACGGAGTTTAAAAAAAATAAATCGTTTGACATCGAAAGCACGGGAAAACAAAAGAAAAAGTAGACATGTGGAACTATGTCAAAAATTAAAAATTCTGAGCCTCAAAGGGCACGATCAACAGGGCGAAAAGGCAATTCAGAGAATGGGAGAAAATATTTGCAAATCACATATCTGATAAAGGGTTAAGGTCTGGAATATATAAAGAACTCCTACGACTCAACAACAGCAACAAAATCCAACCTCATTAAAAACTGGACACAGGATTCAAATAGACGTTTGCCCAAAGAAGACACGCGAGTGGCCAGCAAGCCCACGAGAAGGTGCCCGGCACCACCGACCACTAGGGAAATGCCAATCAACAGCCACAATGAGACGCCACTCCACACCCATCATCAGGACGGCAACAAAACAGGAAAATAGCAAGTGCCGACAAGGATCTGGAGAAAACACTGGAACCCTTGCACAGTGGATGGGAATGGTGCAGCTGCCGTGGAAAATAGGGTGAAGGCTCCTCAAATATTTAAAAATGGAATTATCATATTCCACCCAGCGATTCCACTTCTGGCTATAAACCCCAACAGAATTGAAATCAGCATCGCGAGGAAATATCCGTACCCCGTGCTCATTGCAGCACCATTCACGGCAGTCACAAGGCAAAAGCGACTCAAGTATTCATCCACTGGAGATAAATAAAACATGGTAGGCATACATACAACAGACTGCTAGTTGGCCTTAGAGAGGAATGAAATTCTGACACCTGCTACCAACCGCATGGACGAACCCCGAAGACATTCTGCTAAGTGAAAGAAGCCAGTCGCAAAAACACAGATGTTACGAGTCCACTTGCACGAGGCCCGTAGAGCCGCCGAAAATCAGAGAGGCAGAAGGAGAAGGGGCAGCGCTCAGGGCTAGAGCGTTTGCCCGCAAACAGGTGGGGGACGGGGGGAGACGGTGGCTGGCAGGGTGGGGGGAGCGGAGAACGGGGAGTCTAATGAGTGCAGAGTTTAGTTCTGCAGGATGAAAAGACTTCTGGGGACGGATAAATGGATGGACGAACAATAAGATTTGTCCTTAATGCCGCTGAACTGTACACTTAATAATGGCTAAGACTGTAAATTTTATGTTGTGTATTTTACTCAATAAAAAAGTAATAGATCCATTAACGTGCTGGGCCAGCACCTGGCAGATGGCACACTCTCGACAGAGGAGCGTTGTCACCCCAGCAGTCCGAAAGGCGGGATATCGCTTTCCCATCCCGGATTTGCCGGCCAGAGACCCTGGAGGTTGGAGGGATCGCCCAGGGTCTCCAGACGTGAGCAGGGGACAGGGCGTGGGTCGGGCGTCCTGATGCTAAGCCCGCTGTCTTCTCCCCGCCTCCCTCCTGTGCCCCGGGCGCCCCCTGCCTGGGTGCCTGAGCCTTTTCTGCAGCCCCGAACCCTGCCTGTCCTGCGTGCTTGTCCGAGCAGCGGGACCCCGGCTCCCTCACTCTGAGGCCCTCCCTCACTCTGCGGCCTCCCTGTGTGAGTCCCCCCCGCCAGCCGGAGTGCTGGCTCCTCCCACCCCTCGGGCCACGCCGGCACCTGCCGCTCCCTGGCTCCTGCTCCGCTGCTCTTTGGTCCCAGTCCTGAAGGCAGCAAGGGCCACTGAGGGACCGGTGAGGGCCTTCCTGTCCTTCTGCTGCCCAGAGGTTTAGGCCAAGCGTGTGTTTGCCTTCAGCAAGAAGCAGTGTGCTTGCGCCTAGCGCGTTTAGCTTCAGTGTGCAACAGCCGCACCCGGCCAGGGTTCGAATCTCACCGCACCTGCTACGTGTCAATCTCCCCATCGTTCCGTTTCCCACCCAGTTTTTGCTGTGGGTTTAGGACTCAGTGAGTGAAGAGCACAGGGTCTAAAAGGGTTTAAATTGTAGCTTCCGAGTAGCACCACCATCGGGCAAGCTCCTCTTCCTTTCTGAGCCTCAGTTTCCTCGTTTGTAAATTGGAGGGAAAAGCCACACTGACGTCAGAGAGCTGCACCACCCAACGCAGCTGTGACGTTGTCACGTCTTTGCAAACGTGCCCGGCCCACGCCAGGGCGTGAATAACTAGTGATGGTCGTGGTTATTCCAAGGTCCCTGAAGTGCTGTCACCAATGTCATGGCATCACCCCCTGAGCCCAGCTCCAGCCGGGGCCCCACCGAGTCACCAGCGGCCCTAAGCTGCCTACTGGGCACCTCCCCAGGACACCTCCAGGCACCTCCGTCTGCTTGTGCCCCGCGCTGAGATTGTTCTCGTCCCTCCCAGGCCTGCTTCCCTCCCCTCCTCTCTCCGCTGGTGGTGACATCTCCGTCTCTCTCTCCTCCAGCCTAAACGTCACCCCTGCTCCTCTCGCCCCAGCGCCGCCCAGCCACCAGCCCTCCTCCGCTCTGCCCCAGCGTCACCCCCTGTAGCCCCTTCTCTGATCTGTAGCCCCTTCTCTGATCTCTTCCCACATCTACCGTTGAGCTCCAGCCCTCACCGCCTGTTCCCTTCCTCTCTCACCCCCCGCCCCCTCCATCCTGTCCTCTGCCATCAGAGGTTAAAAAATGAACATGCTACAGACCTGCCCTAGCTCCTTCCCGCACACAGAATACATGCGAACTCCTCGGCATGCTGTTGAAAGCCCCTTGCAGCGCCACCCCACCGCCTGGCCCGCCCCTGCTCCAATCCCTCTCACCCCAGCGCGACACCCGGCCCCACAGAACCTGCCGACTCCTCCGTGTCGGCCCCTCCCTGTCGCTTTGGCTTACGGCTTTGTGTTCCTGCTGCCTGGAAGGGCCTGGCCCAGACTCTGTGTCTGTGGGGAACCGGCCTCTGGTCTTCCCTGCTTTGTGAGCCCTGCCCCGCGGGGTCCCTGTGTTCCGGCCGCTCTGCCAGCATTTCCATGTGGGTCTCTCCGCCGAGACCGCCAGCACCTGGAAGGCTGGACCGCTCCCTAGGGACGAGTTCGTCTCTGCAGGCCCGGGCCAGCTCCATGCACACCACACTGGGTGCCGCCCAGCTGCATCTTGCACCCACTGGCCGGGCACCCGGGCCTCGATCTTCCCGCCCTAGAACGCGTAGCCCAGCTGCACGAGCTTCCCTAAGTCAAGCCTTTGACAGACAGGAGCTCGTTAAGGGGCCTCGATCTCCGCTGCAGACATCTGTTCCCATGGAAACTTGGGACAGGTTCTTAAGAACTCGGGTCCAAACCCAGGCTCAAATGACATCTCTGTCGTCATCCGTTTTTTGTCCCGATTTTGCTAGTGAAAGAGCGAGCCGGGGCGTGGAGGGTCTCCCAGCGGGTGTTACCTGCGGGTCCGGATGCCGGCTGACGGTGATGGGGACGGGGCCGGGGTCACAGTGGCTCAGGATGGCGTAGACGTCGTTGAGCGTCATGCAGTGCACCGGGGAGTCGTTGATCTCCACGATCTCGTCCCCGCACCTGCGGGAGGACCCACAGGAAGCCGTCGGGGAGAGAAACACTTTGGCATTTGGGGGGCCGCCGCCCCAGGCCCGCTCCTGGCCGCACTGTTTGACGAGATCTAAAAATCTCATCGTGGCGTGGACCTCCCCAGCCGCCGGACCAGGACGCAGAGCGGGGCAGACCGAAGCGGCACGCCCCACGCCCCTCGCACACGACGGCAAGGTGGAGGCATCTCGTACCCGCAGAGGGCCGACAGCAACAAAAGTGCCTCTGAGGCCGGGCGCGGTGGCTCACGCCTGTAATCCCAGCGCTCTGGGAGGCCGAGGCGGGCAGATCGCTCGAGGTCAGGATTTCAAAACCAGCCTGAGCAAGAGCGAGACCCCGTCTCTACTATAAATAGAAAGAAATTAATTGGCCAACTAATATATATATATATATATATATATATATATATATATATATATATATATTAGCCGGGCATGGTGGCGCATGCCTGTAGTCCCAGCTACTCGGGAGGCTGAGGCAGGAGGATCGCTTGAGCTCAGGAGTTTGAGGTTGCTGTGAGCTAGGCTGACACCACGGCACTCACTCTAGCCTGGGCAACAAAGCGAGACTCTGTCTCAAAAAAAAAAAAAGAAAAAAGTTCCTCTGTGACTTTCCTCCTCTTTTTCCCATTTGGCTACAGTCAGGACGGAGGGTGTGGCTTAGCCAATCAGCCACGAGCTAGTCCATCACGCCCTGTGGGCTCCGTGCCCCCACAGCAGGGCAGTCGGGAGGAAGGATTGGCTCTAACACGGCACACACGGGATGCCGGGTGTCGCACCCAACATCATCCTGTATGTGCTGGAAGGTAAAGGAAAAATCACTCTGCAGGAAAGCAGTGAGCGAGGTTCCTCCAGAAAGCAGTAAGGAGAGAAGGCGACAGAGTTCATTCTAGTCGTGAGGTGGGAAGGGAGTGAGCGGCAACCTAAACACAAAAACAAGGAAGGTGGAAAGTCGGGGCCGCATAGACACATGGAGCATCCGTGCAATCCAGTCCCCTTCCCGTCACAGGTGGGGAAACTGAGGCACGGAGCGTGAGATGATTTCCCTGATAAGACCCAGCTCAGGGATTGAAAAAATCTTTCTGTGAAGGATGGGAGAGGCCGGGCACAGTGGCTCACGCCTGTAATCCCAGCACTCTGGGAGGCAGAGGCGGGCGGATTGCTTGAGGTCAGGAGTTTGAAACCAGCCTGAGCAAGAGCTACTATAAATAGAAAGAAATTAATTGGCCAACTAATGTATATAGAAAAAATTAGCCGGGCATGGTGGCGCATGCCTGTAGTCCCAGCTACTCTGGAGGCTGAGGCAGGAGGATCGCTAGAGCCCAGGAGATTGAGGTTGCTGTGAGCGAGGCTGACGCCACGGCACTCACTCTAGCCTGGACAACAGAGCGAGACTCTGTCTCAAAAAAAAAAAAAGGATGGGAGAGTCACTGTTTGAGGTTTTGCAGCCTTCCCGATACTATCATCCCTGTCGCGAGTCCCCAGCCTTGCGGTTGTAGCATGACAGCCCCAGCCACAGGCAGTGCGGGAACCAGTGAGCACACAGGTGACAGGCTGCGGTTTGCAGAGCCGGGCCCAGCTGGCCACCCGTAGGGCCAGGACTGCGACTCGGGTGTCCGGAGGCCGACTTCCCTGTTCCTCCTGCCGGGGCCCAGGGCTTCCTTTTCCCGGATGCCTGCCGAGCCGGCCCCTTCACCCTTGTGCTAGGAGAGTGCACGTTTTTACGAAGGTAACAAACTGGAGATCACCGTCATACAGCACCGGATGCCAAGGAAAGCGGAAGCTTCCAGAAGCTCCCTCCTAGCTGCTGCGGGTCTAGCAGGGAGGCACCTTCTGGCTGAGGGGACCAGACCTGCAGTACGTGCCAGGTACTCGAACAGCAGCTCAGCAAATCAGTCACTCCCCTGCAGGTGACAGCTGCAGACCCCTTTCTAACTCAGACGCTCCACCAAGATACCCTGGTCGGCAGGGCTTGCCCTTCCACATCCTGCAGTCATAGGAGACCCTGCAAAAATGTGGCAAAACTCTCCTGATTTGGCAAGACCCAAACCCAGTGAGAAGGGAGGTATCTGCACCACACATGGATGTCGGAGCTGAGCCTGACCTTGGGACACCGTAGGAGAGCCACAAGTTGCAACAAAGTTAAATTGGAATAAAGTGGGGTTTTTTTTAAAAAGCAAATTCCGATCACTTATTAACAAGAAAATTTAGATCTGTACTTCTATTAGAAGTTATCTGCAAACAAATATATCTGGAGTTCCTGAAATATTTTTTTTAACGCCAACAAGTAACTATACTTCTAATTTTTTTAAATTAAGCTGCATTTTCCATTTGGAGCTCACAAGGAGACCTCATCGAAGCTCCCATTTCTGCTGCTGTAAATTCTACAGGAGCTAAATCTGAATTGAAGCGTGTTGGTCTCGTGCCGTCTGGGGTGGACTGGTGTCCTCGAGCCGATGCTTCTGCGGCTGTGACGTGGGTTTTGTGAGGATGCAGGTCTGGGCTGGGGCGCCCGAGACGCTGCGTTTCCAAGCAACGCCTGGCGACGCTGAAGCTGCGGGTCCAGGGACCACGCCGTGAGGACCCGGGCTCCGAGCCGTGCCCAGATCTCTCCAAACATTTCGCCCCAAATCAAGCCCCTGACACTCTAAGTTGCTTCCACCCTCCTTGTAGGTCGGGGGTCTGTTCCAACACGGAAGAAAAGACGTACCGGAGTCGCCCGTCCAGATGCGCCACAGAGCCCGGGGACAGCGTGTGCACGAAGATGCCCGAGATGCACTGGACGTAGGGCACGCTGCACAGGCCGATGCCCAGCCCCACGCCGGCCTCTGCGGGGGGCGGGGGAGACGCGTGATGAGCTCTCCTGGTGCCGTGGTCCGTCAGTGGTGTCTACTTATTGCTTTCGTCCCTCCCACATTCCCGGAGGGTGGGTGAGCTGTGTGCAGGCTCTAGGGTCAGGACCGGGGCCAAGGCAGAGCAGGGAGAGCGGAAGGACTAGAAAGGACAGAAGGATCGAGTGTGGAAGGACTAGAAAGGACAGAAGGATCGAGTGTGGAAGGACTAGAAAGGACAGAAGGATTGAGTGTGGAAGGACTAGAAAGGACAGAAGGAGGAACAGATGGAGACAGAGAGAGAGGGAGGGAGGGAAGGAGACAGGGATGGAGGGAGGGAGGGAAGGAAGGAGGGAGACAGGAAGGGAGGGAGACAGGGAGGGAGGGAGACGGGGAAGGAGGGAGACGGGGAGGGAGGGAGGGAGCGAGCAATGGAGGGAGGAAGACAGGCAGGGAGGGAGGGAGGACGGGCAAGGAGGGCAGGGAGCAGGCAAGGGGGAGGAGGGGGAGGGAGGGAGGGGAGGAGGGAGGAGCGAGGAGGGAGGAGACAGGCAGGGAGGGAGGAGACGGGGAGAGATGAGGAGGAAGAGGAGGATGGAGGAAGGAGGAGATAGGAGGGAGGGCATGAGAGAGAGGGAGGAGGAGGGATGGAGGGAAGAAGAGGGAGGGATGGAGGAGGAGGAGGAGGCAGGAGAGCAGGAAGGAGGGAGGATGGAGGGAGGAGGATGGAGGGAAGCGAGCAGGAGGGATACGATGAGAGGGAGGAGGGAGGGAGAAGGGAGGGACGGGGGGGGGAGAGGAGGGAGGAAGGAGGGAAGGAGAAGGGAGGAGAGGGAAGAGGGAGGGGGAGGGAGCTGGAAGGAGGGAGGGAGGGAGGGAGACGGGGAGGGAGGCGAGGAAGGATGATGTAGGAAGAAGGAGACGGGGGAAGATGGATGTAGGAGAAGGAGGAGGGAGGGAAGAGAGGGAGGGAGAAGGGGAGGGAGGGAAGGATGGAGGGAGGGAAGATGAGGGAGGAAAGGATGGAGGGAGGAAGAGGGAGGGAGACAGGGAGGGAGGGAGGGAAGGAGGGAAGGAGACGGGGAGGGAGGGAGTGAGGGAAGGAGGGAAGGAGGGATAGAGACAGGGAGGGAGGGAGAGATAGAGACAGGGAGGGAAGGAGGGAGGGAGGGAGGGAGGGAAAGAGGGATGGAGACAGAGAGGGAAGGAGACAGGGAGGGAGGGAAGGAGGGAGACGGGGAGGTATCAGAGGACGATAAGTATCGTGTGGACAATCGGTGGGGACTGTGCTGGCCAGCAGGGACGGCCACCTCAGGCCTCAGAAGAGACGGCACTCAGGTAAAGCACGAAGGGCAAGCACACGCGAGGGCCAAGGAGCTGGGGCCGAGCCCCCCAGAAGCAGAAATGGACGGGAAAGTTGGGGTCCGTGTGGCCTGCAGCGGGGAGCCTGGGGAGGGGACTGGAGAGGCACGGGGCAGATTAGACGGGCGTCATCGTAAACAAGGGATTCCCCCACACGGCCAAGAGAAGACTCGAGGCAGAGCTGTGCGCCAGGAAGGAACAAGCCCCAAGTCCTGTGTGGCCGAGGTCTGGCTGCTGTGGGGAGAGGGCTGTGGGCGACAGGGACCAGGGGAGGAGAGGCAGCAAGGGGGCGGCGGGCGGGCTGGCCCGCAGCTCGTGCGCAGCCGGAGAAAAGCGGGCGGACTGCGCTGTGCAGACAGACTTGCCTCGGGGGAAATGTAAGAATTTAATAACTAAACTCAGAACGAACGACCCAGCGGTGCTTGGGCCGGACAGAGGGGATGCCGGTGGGGTTTCCACGGCACCAGGGAGCTACGGAGGCCCGGCTCTGAAGGCCTGAGGGCGAGGCTGGGTGCGGAACCGCCCATGGAGGCTGCGGGTGTCCTGGGGCCGTGGGGAGCAGCCGTTCGCCCGTGTGGACCTGGAACCCGGCCGAGACGCCAGGGTGGCAGCACGTGGGGCCTGGGGGACGGGGGCTGGACGGGACCCCGAGAGTGGGGGACACGGCCTGGGGCTATCCAGCGTGGAGAGGCCTGGGGAACGGGGCAGCCGGCAAGGGGGACGGGGTGCAGTGGCTCAGGCCCTCACCTTCCCACGCTGGTCCCCCCCGCACTGCCCCGAGGGATGTGGTGGCGGCGGCCGTTGGCAAGTCCACGGGATGGGTGGGGATTTCGGCTATGACCCGGCTGACAAGCAAGGACCAAGCCTTCCCAGAGCCCGGGTCTCCAACCAGAGCAAGCGTTTCCGCCCGGTGAGCACCCAGTGGCTGGGGTTGGGGGGGACCCGTTTACAATGCGGGGCTCTGGGCCTCGCCCCAAACGCTGTTGAAGCCAAATCTCTGGGGTGGAGGCTGGGACAGGACACTGCATCACATAAAATGAGAAAAAAAACGCCCTCGGGGAAACAGTCTGAGGCTGTGCCCCTCCCTTCCCGTGTCTCCTGGGGAAATCCCTGACAGCCCGACGCAGCGGGCGGGGCCGGGCCGGCCGGACAGTGTCTACGCCAAGGGCCCTGCCAGCCTCCTGGGCCCGCAGAGGCGAGGGGGCGTCAGGGAGCAGAGCCCCCCGCAGGGAATTAACTGCACACCCTCTTCCATCACTTCCACGGCACCCGCCTCCCTCTGCCCGCTCCTCCCGCTCTCTGGCCAGACGGCTGCACGTGGCTTTCCAGTCTGCTTGTGTCACACTGCAGGCCATGCTCCGAGACACCTAGGGGAGCTTAGTCAGACCTAAGCTGACGTGCCATTTCCCGGCTTAGAGACCCTTAAGGGCTTCCCGTTGTGATCACAAGAGAATCGAGCCGCCAAGAGGGTCTGTCCCCGTCCCTGTCTCTGCCACGCGCACAGACCTCCCCTCTCGCCCTGCCCCGCGCGCCCGCCGTGCCGCCTCCCCTCTGCCCCCAGGACCCCACTCTGTGCCACTCTGCCCCCACTTGCCCCTGCTGGTGCCGGCTCGCACACCTGGAGAGACGACGGCCTCCCAGGCCCGCGGCAGGTGGCAGCCCACCTGGGTCCCTGCACGTCAGAGAGAGCAAGGACCTCGGCTCTCCTGCTACAGGAAAGAAAACGGAGGCCGGGGAAGGGGCAGCGACCTGCCTCCCAGTCCCTTCCCACGCCGGCCGCAGAGCCACAGCCGCTGGCCCACCGTGGCCGTGTGCGGGTGTCGCTCTGCGTGTGGCTTGTGTTTGCTCTGCTGTGTTCTATCCCTGTCACCGCACGGGGACACACGGACCGGGTTCTAAAAGTGCGTCTGGAGCTTCTCTAAGCAGAGGGCTGGGCGTGGCTGCCCAGCCTGGCCACATGGTGGCCACGAAACCCGCCAGAAGATGACACCCCACCTGGCTCCCGGGCCGACTCCAGGAGCAAAGCCGGGAGACCCGGCCGGTGCGGGGGGCCCGGCAGCGGGCGGGGGAGGGTGGCGGCGCCCCTACCTTTCTGCAGGGACACCTCCACCATGATCCTGTAGTTGGGCTTGGCGGCGCAGGCGGGCGCAGGGGGGCTCTCCGTGATGAAGCAGCCGCCGTCCCTGGCGACGCAGGTGCTGGAGCTGAGCGAGCGGCACAGCGGCGGGGACAGGGCGCCGCACAGGGCGGGCGGCGCGGTCAGGCGGGTCCTCACGGTGAGGGTGAGCAGCCCCTTCTTGGCTTGCTGGAGGGAGGAGAGACGCTAAGGCGTTGTCCGCGGCGACCGGGAGCGGGAGGAACACCGCCCTCCCGGAGAACAGGGGTCAGATACTCTCCACGGAAACGCAGCTGTGTGCGTGCGTGACACATACACGTGTGCATACATTCGCATGTTACGTGTTACACGCATGACATATTTGCACGCATACACATACGCATGCTATGTGCATGCCAGATAGATGGAGGGATAGAGAGATAGAGGCTTGGGGTGAACCAACTGGACTCAGACTCTAAACATCAGTCATTATCACAAAACATCTTTAGTGATTGCCTTAGAAGGGATTTGTAAATATGTCAATATAAATACGTGGAATGCTTTCAAGAAGTTTTATAAATCTCAAGCAGTTTAAAGCCCCCTACACCCACCCTGACCACACCATTACTTTCTGGGTTAGGTCTTCCTTTAACGCCGCGCCAAGGCGGGCACCGGCGAGCCACGCGTGTACAGGATCCCGCGGTCTGGATGTGTAGACTGGGTACCGAGGGTTGGGTCCCTCTGCCGGAAATCCCTGGAGTTTGGCGCATACTGAAAATAAACGGTCACCTTGAACTTCTGCAAAGCGTCCTGATGTGTCAGTCCGGCCATCGACTCCCCATTGAGCTCCAGGATTTCGTCACCTGTCGGGAGAGCAATGGCAGCTAGGAAGGGCTGCTCGATCACAGGGTGCTATCCTCACCTTGAACTCCAGCCTCCCACTGCCCAGCTTTTTGCATTTGGTGCTGCACCCCTGCAAGGCGGGCAGGGCAGCAACGACCAGCCTGCGCTGGCCCCTGCCCACCTCTCTGCTTTCCCTCCTCCCCCTCCCCCCCCCCCCCCCCCCCCCGCCTCGCTGACCCTCCCGCCTTGCTCCGTGCACGGTTTTCTGATGCAGCAAGACCGGCGTTTTCCCCACGATGGTCCGTGCACTTAAATGCCTGTTCCACGACGTTCTCTCCACTAAACTGTTTACCTCCTACCTTCTCCTCTTATCTCGTCTCGATCCTGCAAGCCTTGCTACCTTTCTCCCCTCTGTAGGCTCGGGGCGCCCTACACCCACGGCTGTCACTGCACCTGCCACCTGGCTGGTGAACAGTGATCCACAGACGTCACTCCTGGGCGGGCTGGCGCTTGCCGGGCTCGGGGGCTCTGTCTTCCTGTCGGGAGATGACTCAGGCTCTGGGCCAACGCCGCGTGTGGGCCGCAGAGTGCTCAGTAGACGGGGGTCGGATGGGACGGGTACGGAAGGGCCACGCTGACCTCACTCTAGAGTCGAATAAACCGAGCTCTGAGAAGTCCCAAGTCACACGGTAAGGAGAATCAGGACTCGGGTCTTTTGACTCCAGGTTCTTTCTCACACCTCATACTTCAAGGTGAATAATTTTTTCTCTGTCCAGAAGTTCCTTTTTATGTGGCTATAAAACCTCTTCTCCGTCTCTTTCGATTTATCCAATACACAAACAGGGAGAACCTTCCCTGCATTCGACACTGTACTCGGCAACTCGGAGTGAGCGCTGTGTTCTCGCGGACCTCCGGGCTTTATCACCGATGAGTCTGCCGTCCCCTAATCAAGGTTCCACTGTGCAGAGTCCACAACGTCTTTCCGGTTGCTTTTACCATTGTTTTCCTTTGTCTCTGAAATTCCACAATTTCATCATGATGACCCAGGGTGGAAGGAAATTCTCTGTGCTTCCTCAAGTTGAATTTTCATGCCTTCAATCAATTCTGAAAAATTCTAAGCCACTATCTCTTTGCATATTGTCTCTCTCTTTCAGTCTATTCTTTCTTTCTAAAATTCCTATCGGGTACATTTTGAACCTTTTTAACCTATTCTTCATTTTTCTTTAATGCTCATCTTTCTCTTCTTTTATTGTTCATGTGGCCTACTGTATAATTTCCAGTTCGCTAATTTTCCTTACATCTAATCTTGTGTTAAACCCACCCATTGAGGTTTTTATTTCAATGACTCTGACTTTTTTTTTTTTTTTAATTTCTGGGGATTTTTATTTTTTACATCCACCTAATTTTTTCATTGCGTTCTGGTCTTATAGTTTATATTCCTTCTTTTATTTTTTAAAATAATTATATATAGTTTCTTTTAGGTTATTCTGCTATCTTAAGTTTTTGAGGGCTAGTCCTCCTTTCTGTCATTTCTGATGACCCTCCTGAATAGTGGCCCCTTCCTGATGTAGGATGTAATCTCTATCATAAACTCACTTGTCAGGATATCCAGGTTTTCTGTGCAGTTTCCATGTACCACCAGGCACCTCAGGGGTTTCACTGGCTTGGGACTGGTTTGAATATTAATTTCTCAGCTTGGAGATTCCTGTGCTCTACAAGAACTACAAATGGGACCCTCGGGCCCATGCATGACACAGGCGTTGGTATCATTTTCCCGCGAGAGACATTTTTGCCCACTCGGGAACCCTGGGCAAAGCTAAGTGTCCCCACTGCTTCCCCGGGGCCTGCAGCCTTTCCAGGGGGGCTCTGTCAGCAGCAAGGCCTCGTACCGGCTCCCGGGTCCTCACACGGACCCCCGCCCTGGCCCCAGTCCCCATCGGGGCATTCGACTCCCAGCCCCTGGCCCTGCGGGTCTGTACGGAACCTGCCAGCCCTCTGGGCCACCGGCCCATCAGCCCCTGAGTTTGCTGCACTGAGGCTGAAAGTTGTCCCCTTGTTTTCTAGCAGCCGACGTTTCCATTTCTTGCGTTCGAGTTCGGATGTGCTATTTTCTTTGACATGTCCGTGGGCTGGAGGCAGAGGGTGGGGAGAGTATTCAGATTAATTCAACCTGCTCGGTTGCTGGAACCAAAGTGAAAAACGAAAGGAACCAGGCCTGGTCTGTGTGAGACTCCAAGCGTGGGAGTGGAAATAGACACATTAAAAAAAAGTAATCATCAAAATATAATTAAATGTGTGCTGAAGGAAGGATAGAAAAAGAAAATATTGCAAAATATTGTCCATTCCTTTAGACAAAAGGTCTCCAACTCCTGGGCTCAGGTGATCCTCCTGCCTCGACCTCCCAAAGTGCCAGGATTACAGGCATGAGCCACCTCGCCCGGCCCCTGGAATGCCCTTCTTGATTCCGTGAGGGGCCGAGCCTCTCTTTGGTATCCGTATTAGATGGGGCCAGCTCTGGGCTCCTTGGAGCCTCCTTTCTCTATGTGATCCTCTCTGGTGAAAGTTGAATGACTTGGGTTTTGCCAAATAAATCTCACACTATCACTTTTTGGAAAGAGAGTAAAAAAGGAAACGTTACTGTACACCAAACTTTTCCTGCAACTACTGTATCTGCCATGAACTCCAGGGCGGATTCAGACACTGTACTTTTGAAAGAGATTACAAAAGATGGTTCGGTTGGTTTTTTGAGGCTAGCATCCGGGATTGCATATAAACTGAATGTCTTAGCTCACTGAAGTTCTCTATTGTTTGCTTGTAATTAATGCTAACCAAGGGGGACAAATACTCAGGGGAAAAAAAAAATAAAAAAGGTTGCCTTGGGCACGCCCACACTCAGGAAATGAAAGGAAACCGGAGACTCTCTTTTCTCAACCACTCCCCGCTCTCTGTTCCAACACAAGACAATAAAACAGAAGGTGGCTGCGGACATTCTGGGGGCTTGTTCCTCTTTGGCTCTGCCCCGCCCGCCTCTTGAGTTAGCCGCTCCCCTGGAACCATAACCTGGCCGTCTCCCGACTCCTCCTGTCTCCCTCATCCATGGGCAACCCCAGCTACTGTCCAGGTGCTGATGACCCGGCTCTGACTCCCTGAGCCACGCCCGCCCACTTTTCCATCCCCCTGCTGGGCAGCGCCACCCGGCGGCCACCTGGGCATCACCCTCCCTTGGGGGGTTCAATCACACTCATTCGCCACCTCTGCTTGGTTTCTCTCTGTCTCTTCTCTCATCTGTCCTCCTGTCCCTCAGGCCACCGTCTGGGGCAGGTCCTCGGAGCCAGCTGGCACAACGACCTGTGGACGGGTCTCTCGCCAGCCCATGCTCTGCTTCCTGAATCGCCCCAAAACCCTGGTCACAGCAGGTGCCCCCCACACTCTACAACCTTCAAAGGCTCCCCGCTGCCCCACGCACGGCCATGCCTAATGCCGGGGTCGGCAAACCTTTTCTATAAAGAGCCGGGAGGTAAATACTTGAATCACCGGGAGCAACGGTCTGGCCCCCACAGCCGCTGGACACCGTGCCGTGGCAGCACGAGGGCAGCTCTGGACAGCAGGGACACGATGAGCAGCCTGTGTCCCAGGAAACGTCTTCATGGACACGGGCATGTAAATTTCCTCTCATCTTCACGTGTCACACACGACGCAAAAACACTTTCTAATTCTCTAACCATGTAGAAACGTAAAAACCCGTCTTTGTTTGTGAGCCGCATAAAACCCCCGAGGGCTGCAATGCACCTACCGAGTTTCCCCGAAAATAAGCCCTCCCCATAAAACAAGCCCCTGCGGGATGTCTAAGCACGTGCGCCATAGAAGCCCCACCCCGAAAATCGGCCCCAGTGACCGGCGTGGCTGCGCAGCGTCTGCACGACCCGTGCATGTGGTCGCGGAGCGGGAAAGAACACGAGCAGCCCTTCCCATCCGCCCGTGAGAGATCTGTGGCTCCACAGGAGAGATCGGGGCCAGTGGTTCTAAGGGAAACAGAGTCACAGGACATTCAGGATGGGATTCGGGGTCTGGAGAGTGAGGATGATGATGTTCCAGAAGAAGACGGCTGCACTGTATTTGAATAAATGTAGACTGTTGTACCGTACTTAAAAAAAATAACACATCCCCTGAAAACAAGCCCCAGGGTGTCTTCTCGAGGAAAAATAAATAGAAGACCCTGTCTTGTTTTCCGGGAAACACGGTACCCCTCCCCAGACTGGTCGGGTTAGGGGAGCGGGAGGCTCCCAGCACGGCCGCAGGAGCTGACCGGGCAGGGGCTGCGAACACCGTGCTGTCACTTCTCTTCAGCCACCCTGAGTGTAGCCCCGGCCCTGGCCCGCGGCGGCCACCTCGCCCCGTGACTCCCCGTCCCTGAGCTAGAACCCGATCCCCTCGGGCCCGGCCACTGACCAATAATCCGAGCGTGGCTCCGGCTCGGGGGGAGCTGGGGTGCGGAGGGAACCTGGCCCTGCTCCCGCCTTGTGAAGGTGTGAGCGAGTTGGGGGTGGGGGTGGTTGGGAGGAGAGGGCTCACTGGAGGGGTGGGGGACCCCCAGCGGGCAGACCATGCGCTCATCAAGGGGGGCTCACGTCTGATTCCTCTCCATACGCCCCCGGCCTAGAGCTCCGTGGCTCTCAGAGAATGTCGGTCCCACTCATCTGTGGGAACCCTCGGACCCGCTTCCCTCCGGCTGTGGGTTGGGCAGGGCGGGGAGGAGGACGGGAGGGGATGTTGACGGGTCCCAGCGACCGAGAGAGGGCCCTGGACAGACAGGGAACGGCGGCGGCAGAGAGAATGGGAGCAGAGGGGCAGAAACAGACCCTCGGACCCCGCCCAGCTGGCCACGCACCCGGCTGGGGCCTGAGCAAGCAGACACACACGGCCGGCCGGTGCCTGTCGTGGGGAGCCCCCTTGGGGACCTGCCCCCTCCCCGAGGACCCCAGAACCCCTGATTTCCGGCCGGATCCGGAAAGCTCAGAAACAGGTTGCACCATCCCCTGGTCTTCCACAGCCCGGCGATTCCGGGTCCTGCGTCCGACTCCCGCACCGCGGCCCGCGCAGGGCTGGGGCTCTACCTTCCTGCAGCCTCCCGTCCGCGGCCGCCGCTCCCCCTGCAAAGATGCTCTTGACGTAGATCCCAATGGGGCCGTAGATGCTGTCCTCTCCCCCAACGATGCTGAAGCCCAGGCCCTGGGGAAGAAGAGAGGGGCGGGTTTGGGGCTGCGCCGAGCTTTCTGCCCGGGCGATGCTTTCTGGGGCTGCCTCAGCCTCAGCCAGGGACGGGGAGGAAGGGAAGGTGCCTCGTGTCACAGACCTCAGGGCTGACAGAGGAACGGCCGGGCGGTCCCACCAGGCCTGCCGCGTGGGGCCGTGTCCGGAGCTTCCACGGGGTCTGCTGTCCCCGCGCAGGGCGGGCGGCACGGAGCCCAGAGCCCAGTGCTGTCCCTGCAGTGGGCCATTCCAGACCGGTCTCGTCCCGGCTCTGGGCTGGGGTGAGTAGGGCCACCCTGCAGAGCTCCCAGGCGCAGTCAGACCCTCCTTGCTCCACCCACCAAAATTATGTTAGACAGGTCAAAGAAACCAGCCCTTCCTTATTTCAGCTCCTGGGTGGCTTGGGCTGGTCGGAGCACATTTACGGAAACCGCCTGTGTCTGCTCCGGTTGTTTCCGTGTGCGTGAGCCCATCCCACGCATAAGGCAGCGTGCTTCGGGGTGAGTGCAAAGAAACATCTGAGATGCTCGTCACCGCTGACACTTTTTTTTTGGGGGGGGGCAGGGTCTTGCTCTGTTGCCCAGGCTGGAGTACAGTGGTGCCATCGCAGCTCACTGCAGCCTCGAACTCCTGGGCTCAAGCGATCCTCCTGCCTCGGCCTCCCGAGCAACTGGGACTACAGGCGAGCACCACCACCCCTGGCTAATCTTTTTCTAAATGTTTTGTGGAGACGGGAGGTTCACTACGTCGCCCAGGCTTGTCTCAGACTCCTGGCCTCAAGTTACTCGCCCACCTTGGCCTCCCAACGTGCTAGATGGCAGGCCTGGCCTCCACCCACCCTTTTGTTTCTGCTCCGATGTTTCTGGGTCGTGGAGCCGAGGGCAGCGGGATGCTTCCCGCCTTGAGTGAGGGCCGCCTCCTCTGGGGCTCCGGCCGACAGCAAAGCGTCACCGTCTGTCGAATTACCCGCGCGTAGTGGGGAACGTATATGTCTGAAAGTTTACGTCTGGGTTCCTGCTTTATTGTGCATGAACATCTGGACGGTGGAGGTAGAGTCGGGATCCAGAAGTCTATGTGAATAATTTGGATTTATGTATCAGGTAAAGTTCAGTCCTGGAAAGTGCCATGCCAGGAATAGATAGATAGATAGATAGATAGATAGATAGATAGATAGATAGATATCTGGCCAGGCACGGTGGCTCACGCCTGTAATCCCAGCACTCTGGGAGGCCGAGGCGGGAGGATTGCTCAAGGTCAGAAGTTCGAAACCAGCCTGAGCAAGAGCAAGACGCCGTCTCTACTATAAATAGAAAGAAATTAATTGGCCGACTAATATATATAGAAAAAATTAGCCAGGCATGGTGGCGCATGCCTGTAGTCCCAGCTACTCGGGAGGCTGAGGCAGAAGGATCGCATGAGCCCAGGAGTTTGAGGTCACTGTGAGCTAGGCTGACACCATGGCACTCACTCTAGCCTGGGCAACAGAGTGAGACTCTGTCTCAAAAAAAAAAAAAAAAGGAATAAATAAATCCATATCATGCCAGGGCACAACTTTGAAGGTGTTAGGGCAGTTGGTGGGGAATGGTCTCCTCTGCAGGAAAATGGTCACTTTGTCTAGTTAATTAGGGAATTAATTAGAGAAATGTGTGTTTCTGAACCCAGCTGGCTCTGAGTTTTAAAAGAGGAGACTGGTCCGCGTTCGCCCCCCTGATGCTCCAGCGCCCTGAGTAGCTGTACCGACTCCCGCCCTCCCGGGACACGCAGCCCAGACTCCCGCCCCTTCCTTACCTTCGCCTGCCCCTTCATGAGCACGACGTTGGAGATGACCGAGGCCTGCAGGCCCCCGGACGGCTGCGGCAGCTGCGCGGTACTCAGCGACCGCGTGGGTCTCGTAGGGCCCTGCAGCGGGAGGGTGAGTGGTGAGGCCGGGGAGGCAGGCCAAGGGCAGGAGGGGCTTGCTTGGCTCTAGGCGCCAACTTTGCAGAGCCTGATGTCCCTGCGGCCCCAGGCAGAGGCTCTGGAGCCAAGGAGGTAGGTGCCACCAGGACGCGTCCCCATAACCGAGGTGTCAGGCAGAGCCCGGGAAGCCAAGCGCCAAGAAGGCACTCACGGATGGCGTCCAACCTGAGACACGTTTGCGGAGCTCCCCTGCGCCAGCATGGGGGGTGGGCTGGGGGGCGAAAGCCCAAAGACCTGACAACCCACAGGTAAGTTCTGGCTGGGCAGGCAGGTGGTTCCCACTCGCACGTGAGGAGCAACAGGTGCTGCGGGAGCTGCCCTGGGGAGGGGCCACGTAGCCTGGGGGTCAGAGCTTGGACGCTGTGCCTGCCTGCCTGGGTTCTCCCCTGACAGCTCTATCAGTCATTGGCTGGTGATTTGATGCTGGGGAAGCGACTTGGCCCTCTGTGCCTCGGTTTCCCCACCTGTAAAATCACGGTCCTCGTGGGGCCTACCTAATAGCGCTGTTCTGAGTAATAAATCCGTGCGCGTGCTTAGAGAGCGAGTGGCTCGTGGGAAGGGCATTATCTAGCTCCTTGCCCTCACTCTACACCCGCAGGCCGTGGCTGCGTTCCACACGCCAGGACTTGGAAAGACTCCGTCTGGGGCGGGGGACCCTGCGTCCTGCGTGTCTCCCCAGGGCAGGCACACAGCTGCGGGGCAGCCGCGTGGACCCCGTATGACGCCTGCGCCCGGGAGGCCTGGGCTCCGCAGCTGCCTGCCTTCTCGTCCTGCTGCCGTAATGAGGCCACCTTGGGAGGCCATTTAAGGTCTCTGAGCCTCGGTTTCCCCACCTGTAAGAGGCGGGTATTCACAGCACTGACCCCTTCGGGCTGCACTGTCTTGGGTGTGCGCGTCTTTGGTGACGGTTAAAGAAACACACATAAAACACGCAGCCCCACGCCTGGCGGGCAGTGAACATGGCTTGCGTGTGTGCTTTCCTGCTAGCATTCCCGGGACAGCCAGCTCTTCCTCCTGCGGATCGCCCTCCGTCCTGCTGGCCTGCGGCGGCCACGCCCGACCGGCTGCTCTCCCCAGAGGCACCCAAGAAATATGCAGGTCCCCGGCTCTGAGCTGCCCCCAGGGCTGTCCCCCCTCCGTGGGTCACACCCTCCCTCCCGGTCTTGCAGAAACAGCCCCTGTCGGATAACTCCCTTCTGCCTTCCGTGCAGGCTGTTGGGGAGGAAAAGTGCAATGGTGCGTGGACATCCGTGATGTTCCGTGTCAGCCTGAGTTAGCGGTACTCTTTAGGGTGAGATTAACATTTAAATCAGGAGCCAAAGCAGGCTGCCCTCCCTCATGTGCGTGGTGCTTGGACAATCAGTCCACGAACCCAAGGGCGGCCTGTCCTTGAGCAAGAAGACCTTCCCTGCCTGCCTCCCTGCCTTCCAGCTAGGACACCGGCCTTCCTCCTGGCCACGCGCTCCTGCGGGCCTGTGCCTGGGAAACGCCAGCGGTTCTCCCGGGTCTCAGGCCTCGGACTCCGATGGGAACTAACCCTGCTCTCCCAGCTCTGCGGGCTGGCAACTCACTTTGCTGATCTTGGGACTTGCCCCTGCATAATCCTGTGAACCAATCCCCCAACTCCTTATAGAAAGTCAGTCTTGCTCTCTCTCCCTGTCTTTCTGTGTATGTGTGTGTGTGTGTGTGCACACGCGAGTGTGTGTGTGTGCACACGCGAGTGTGTGTGTGTGCACACGCGAGTGTGTGTATGTACACACGCACAATCGGTTCTGATTCTCTGCAGCGCCCTAACACGGTATCCGAGCGGCTCCTGGACGCCGAGGGGCGCAGCACGCAGAGGCAGCGACCGTGTCTACCACAGCGTTGCTAGTCGCCTGCAGCTCTCCTTCCTCATCAGACGTGGCCCCTCCACCCTTTTCCACACAGCCCTCCTGGTGGCCGCCACCAGCGGCTCCACAGCCCATCCCGAGGGCCAGGTCCCTCCCGCTCCAGCGACCTGGCGTCCCAGCGCATGAGGCAGCAGAGACGGGCAGCCTCCCTTGGGAAGCCCCGCCGCCCAATCCTGGGACGCCTGTGTGACTCAGATGTGCCCAAAACCAGGACTAGGAGAGGCCTCGGCCCGGGGAGTCGCTTTGGAAGCGTCTTTCTCTGACACCGGGACACCAGCACCCCCAGCTTGTGGATGGAAGCCACGCCACAGCGGCTCCAGGAAGGGCAGGGCAGAGAGGTGGAACGTACTGAGCATCTGCTCTTGCCGTGCAGGGAATCCAACACCGCTTGACCCCGAGCCCAGCCACAGAGTGGCAGCGGGGGACACGGGGCGCTAACATACGTGACCCGAATGAGGCCCGGTGGCCGAGCACTGTGAGAGGAGTGCCGGCCCCTGCTGGTGGGCATTTGGGAGAGTGGGAGGTCCACACAGTCGGGAGGGACCAGGAGGGCTTCCAGGAGGAGGGGGCATCGGGAGGGTTCTGAGGGATGGGACGGAGCGGGGTTTCTGGGGACAGAGATGGGAGAAGGAGCAAGACGCTATGACAGGGGCTGCTGGATCCCGGGGCGGGGAGAGGGGCAGCACGAGGCACTTCAAGTGCTTTCTCTGGGCCCGGGGAAAGGACGGGGGGTGGGGCACCAAAGACAGGCAGGGTGGGGGGGCTGTGTAGGGGACACCGGGCTTTGTGCCCGCTGAGCTCCCCTCTGCAAGCTCACGCCCCACGGTGGGAGGGTGGTGGGCTTTGGGAACGACGCGGGGTTGGGCTCAAATCCCGGTCCCTCAGGCTTTAAGACGCAAGAACTCAGCTCCTCACCCTGCCAGGCCTCCGTGCCCCACGGTAAAACGAGGCTAGCAACACGCTTCTTTCTAGGCTTGTTGTAAGAATGAGAGACACTGCCGGTGGAAACGAGCCCCTGTCCCGTGGGGGTTAAGAGCACAGGCTTTGGAGTGATAAAGGCCCGCCTGCAAGAGCCAGACCTGCTTCCCGACCAGCCGGGAGAAGGCGCACACCGTCCTGCGCCCGTCCACGCCCCGGCTGCTCCTCCAGCCGCTCGGGGTGATTTACCCTCAGAGGAAACGAGGCCTCCACCCGGGGCTGTCTGCTGCACCCTGGCACCTGGAAGCGTAGCTGGGGCGGCAGCTGCAAGTGCCCGGCGCGAGGGGGCCCTGGATAGATGCCCCCCAAGGTGGCTCTCTCCCTGGGGACGGCCGGACCGGCTGGGCGAGCCCCTGTCCTCAGCAGTTCCGTGGACATGGCCCGCTAGGAGGACGTCCTCAGCCCCGCTCCCCATGGACCCCCTCCTCCCCGTCCTCCCGCTCCCTCCTGCTGTGCTCACCGGAGTCTTCCCGGCCGCCGGGCAGTCCAGCTGCTGGGAGAGGGACTTCCTGTTGCCGCAGAGCGGGTACGCCTGCCTGTCCTCGGCTGCCGCGGGCGTCCTGGTCACGGGGAATTCGCTCTCTCCCGTGCAGTAGGGATTAACGCCTACACCAGGACAGGGAAGACAGCAAAAGGCATCGGTGCTCCCGAAACACACCACCGCCAGCCAGGGCCGGCATGAGCACAAGTAACTTGGCGCCAGGGCCGGGCACCCGGTGGGGAGAGAGGGCAACGTGGGGGCGCGGGCCACCAGCAGGGTCCAGACCAAGTCCGGGCTCCCGCGAGGGACCTCCTAGCCCAGCGCCAGTGCACAGCCTTTTACGTTCCTCTGAGCCGCGACTGAACCCCCCACGCACAGCTCGGCGCCTGCTCAGGTGAGCGGGAAACCGGGACGGCTCAGGGAGCCGGCTAACTGATCACACACATTCACACGATGAAATTTCACACGCCCACTCCAAACGGTGCTTACAAAAGCTTCCAAAGGCACGAGGCCAGGTTTTATGTATGATATATCTCCATATAGATAAATAAATACATGGGGGGGGGTGTAAGCTCCCGCGTAGGCATGGGAGGGAAATCACTGACAATGTGAGCATGGATTAGCCCTAGCATCACGATTTGGTGTGATTTTAATTCCGTCACGCCTGTCCGCATTCTTCGCACTTTCCTGACTTTGTGTTCGCAATATTCTGTTTGCAACAGGCAAGAACCATGAGGTCTTTCCACCTGAGCCTCACCCCCCGCCCCCCCCCCTCCACCGTCGTGATGACAGACAGGTGAGGGAGGCCGGGTGAGAGAGCAGGCGGCCCAGGACCAAGGCGGGAGGAGAGCCCTGTGTCTCAGCCCACGGCCACCGGGAGCCCCCAGGGCAGGAGCTGACCGGCCACGCAGACCAGAACGGCCCATGGGGACTTGGCCCGCACGGCGGCCTGGGAGCGCCGCCCCCACCCCCATCCCAGCACTCAGGGGCAGCCACGCCCGGTCCCTGGAAACACGGGGCGGGACACTCACTGGTGGAGTTGCTTCGTGTCCTCTGGTGGCAGGCCTTGGGGAACAGGAAGGTGCTGCCGGGCGCTTCCAGTTTTCCGGACTTTTCTCGAGAGGAAGTTGTGGAAGATTCCTGCAAAACAAGTCCCGCCTTTTACCCCCCGGCAAGTTCTGCTGGAGCAGAAAAACGCACTCGGCAACATGGGAGTTTGAAGCTGACCGTGGAAGCACTTTCTGGACCCTCTGTGTCCCCCGCTGAGTGACAGGCACCCCAAGGCCAAGGGTCGAGAATCGATGCCGTCCCCACCGGCACAGGGGTGCACACACCTCATGAGAACGTTGAGCGAACATACGTGACAGGGACATGGAGTGGACCTGTCAGCTCTGCGTCCGGCGTCGGGAAGACAGCCGTGAACATGCAGACAGGACGCTGGCGTGGGGAGACGGCGTTTCGCGAGGGAGGACGGACCACACGCACGGGAAGAAGTAACGGCGAAAGAATCACAGAGAATGACACAAGTGCCAGGAAGAAAGAGCCAGGGAGAGACGCGGACGGGCCTGGGAGGTACAGTAGAGAGGGAGGGATTAAGGGACATCATTCTGCCACCACCCGCACAGCAGGCCCCTACAAACGTCTGCTGCGTGGACACTATATGCATGAATTCCTTCACACTGAACCATTCATGCATTCTTGAGGGTTTTATGGCTTTATTAATTATATTGCTGATTTCTTCTCTTCTCTTTGTGTTTGAGACAGGGCCTCCCTCTGCCGCAGGGGCTGGGCTGCAGTGGTGGGATCGTGGCTCACTGCAGCCTCAAACTCCTGAGCCGAAGCCATCCTCCTGCCTCAGCCTCCTAAGTGGCTAGCACTACAGGCGCACAACACCGCACCTGGCTAGCTTTTTTACTTTTTTGTTTTTTGTAAAAACAGATGTCTCTGTTTCTCAGGGTGGTCTCGACTCCCGGCCTCAGGGCATGCTCCCGCCCTGGCCTCCACAAGTGCTAGGATTACAGGCGTGAGCTGTTAATATGACCCTGTCCAGCCTGTATTGCTGACTTCTATATGCAAAGATTTAATTTAGGGCTTTTAAAATCCATATCCCTAAGTTAAATCTGCTGATGGTTCTCTTACCCTTTTTCTACCTTCCCACCTTGCCATAGTGATGGATTTTCTTTGCTCCTTTTTTATACTAATGATTCGGAAACATCTTTTGTAATACTGAGTCTACAAGCAGTATATTAAACATGCTTGAGTTCATTTCCCTATCTGAGTCGACCATGAAACAGAAAACATGATTCTTCCTCATGTAAGCTCAGAATTTGAGACTTTTACTTTCCTTTCTTTCCTCGCCCGGGATTTTAGAGATAGAAGGCACAGGAATGGGGGTTGAGGAGGAGGAGGATGATACTCATTTTTACTTTTCTTTCTGGGGTTGTTTCCAATTGTCATTCTATTTTATAAATCTATTAACCACAATGATCTCCACTGAATTCTTGAGTTATGTTGATCGCATTACTGCTATAATCATGATGAGTTTGGGAGAGGTGTTCTTTCTGGAAAGTTCTCTGAACGTTTGCATGTCTGAGAATGTCTTTCTGTGGTTGTTGCATTGGAGCGATTGGCTAAGTCCAGCATCCTAGGACATTGGTCGCTCCGCCTGGAAACTCTAGAGCAGCGGTCCCCAACCTTTTTGGCACCAGGGACCGGCTTCATGGAAGGCAAGTTTTCTACGGACGGGGTGGGGGTGGCAGAGTTCAGGCGTGATGCCCGCCCCAGTTCCTAACAGGCCGTGGACTGGTACCGGGCCTCGGCCTGGGGCTTGGGGACCGCAGGTCTAGATGGCTTAAGTGCTTTCTGGGACATAGTGTTCCAGGGGAGAATTTGTGGGGGCACCTGGCACTCTCGTAACGGACACGACTGCCTTTGTTACAAGCCGGGCTTGGCAAAGCCTGGTGAATCTCCCGTGCCCAGTGTCTGCAGCCCAGCACCTGGTGCATTTGCCAGTGGAGGGAAATTTGCCTTGCCTCTCACTAGCGCCCAGTAACCCGCCCTGGGCTCCAGCTCCTGCCACTGTGAGCTGGGGATACAGGGGCTCTGCTGGCATCTGCCCCCTCACCCCTGGCATTTCTCTCCCGTGGCGAATGGCAGCCTAACGAGCCCCCCTGAGTCCCATCTCACCTGCACTATGTCATGCAGGAAGCTCTCGTGGGTTCCACCGTGTGTTGGCCCCTTTCCCTGGGTTCCCACTCTGACCTGCATTTCCCCCTAGTTGTATGTTCCTTTTGGATTTTGATAGACAGAAATTTCTAACAAGTGGAGGAGTTAATCAAGGGTACTCTGTAGCCATCTGGAGCCGGAAGTCCACTCGTAGTCTTTTTAAAAAAAAAAACAAAAAAAACTGTATCCAGTTGTGAAACAAGGGAATCCTGCAAAAACCCACACATCACATCCCTTTTATTTCTCGCGGAAGTCAGTGTTAAACTCAGAGATCGCAGCCGGAAGGCGCTAGTTTTCACAGTCAGCAGCAGAGGGCGCTATGCTAACCCGGGAGAAAGGGTCTCTGACCAGAGGGGAAGCAGGGACTGTATAGAAGGCGATTTAGCTCAGCTGAATTCTTGAACCTCTGTGTTTCCAGAACTTAGCATAAGGACTAGTTCTTTGAATTTGCTGCTTCATACAATGCAATATTCAAAAAGCTAGTTCTTAATTATAACAGCCTAGAGGTCACATCCTGACTCTAATTTCAAGACTTCCCTCTGGCGCTGTTCCACCTGCTCCACGCACCCCAGGGGGACTGTCCAAGTCTGAATGATAGAATGTGGCTTCAGTGACTTTTTTGGGGTCCACTGAACATAGAGGAGCCTAGGAGAACAGCCACTAGGTCTCCCTGTACAAGGGCAAGACTTATTGGCAGCGTGCCTTGACATGTATGTCTTTCCCCGAATATCTAGTAAGCAAACAAGTTAATGAAATGCACACAGGACATGGCATACTAAGCATGTTTAAACATGTTTATAACGAGTGTTTGTGGCATAGGCACACCCGTGTTAACACGGTAAGTTAATAAAAGATGCTATGTTATGAATAGAGTCTAACCGCAATCATGTAAAACATACATAGAAAAGAGGCTGAAAATAAATACACCAGAATAGTGACATTCTAATACTCGACAAATGTTTGCCAGCCGCTTACTCTGCACTAGGCCGGGCTCCAAGTACGGAGGACGGGGCAGCAGGTGGGAAACGCCAGGTCCTGCCCCCCGGATTAGCGAGACTGTGTTTCGTGATGGGGCCACGAATGCTTTCTTGCACTTTTCTGTATTTGCCATGTTTTCCACAATGAGCATCGCTACGTGTACAATCAGACCGAAAACAAATGATTAGATGTACATCTGTTTCAATTTTCACATCAGCAGACTGAAAGTCTGTTTATTGTTACATTTCTTTCTTTTCATCCTCTTTGTAAAAAGGCCCGAGCCCGAAACACGATTTAGCAATCGCTTGGCCGGTGAGGCCGGCTGATTTGGCAGGAGAATCTTGGGAAGTGGAAGCTCTTCTTCCCCCAGATTAGCTGGGAAAATGCAATGCCACGTTGGAGAGAAAGCTTTCTCTGGGGGGCTCAGGGCTGGCCTTAGAAGGCCCTGTTCAAAGGAAGTTGAACCAACGGCACACACTGCTCAGCCCCACAGTCCCCCACATTTTGGCACTCAGCGTCTTGGTGTGGGGCCCGGGACAGCAATCCCAGTGTCCCCCCGCAGGCCAGCGGAGCCTCTTGCGCACAAAAGGAAGGATGAATCCTTCCTGACCCTTCACACGCCTGCGTCTTCCAACCCAAACTGTCTCCCACCCAGGTGGCCGGCGGTTGTTCCCTCCCCCTGCCTGGTAACCAGTCTCCAAGCCGGCTCCCGTAAGCTGCACCTGACCTGCCTGCTGCACCTGACCTGCCTACTGCACCTGACCTGCCTACTGCACCTGACCTGCCTGCTGCACCTGACCTGCCTGCTGCACCTGACCTGCCTGCTGCACCTGACCTGCCTGTTCCTCCCCCTGCCTGGTAACCAGTCTCCAGCACCGCTCCCATAAAGCTTGCACTGACCTGCCTGCTGCACTGACCCTGCCTGCTGCACTCTGACCGCCTGGCTGCACCCTGACCCTGCCCTTCCTGCACCTGACCTGCCTGCCTGCTGCACCCTGACTCCGTTCTCTGCAGCCCTGACCTGCCTGCTGCACCTGACCCTGCCTGCTGCACTGACCTCGCCGCGCACCTGACCTGGCTAGCTCGCACCGTGAGCTGCCTGCTGCACCTGACCTGCCTGGCTGCACTGACCTGCTACTGGCACCTGACCTGCCTGCCCTGCACCTGAC